TTTGAAAAGAGGCAACGGGAATGTGGAAGCGTGAGTAGAGCCCGTATGCCACCGAACAGTGGGCCTTTTCACTGTGTTAATCAAAGCGTGTAGAGCTTGCATCGCCACAAACCGAGAATTTGCGGTTTGGCAGGTGGCCTTTGTGGCCAAGCGAGGCTGGAATTCTTGGAGTCGGCTTTCAGAAAAAAATCCTAGCGTCAAGGGGTTAAGCAAAATTCGGAATGAAGAATTTTTTCAGGTTACCCTTTCATCACATTCTGCAGCAATCCAAACTTGGCCTCCGTGGATGGTGAGCAGGGGGAGGAGGATAAGCTGCCGGAATGGCCGTTGTTTACCCTCGAGGAACTCGCCTACAAAGACCTGTCGCCCTCCATGGGAAATGGGCGTGGCATCAAGGCGAAAGAGTGCCACATGTGGAACGAGTTCATACCAAAGCTCATTCAGACTGCCGGTAAGAGCTGTTGACAGAAGCTGAGGTTTACATCACACTCAGTGCAACAATCCTTCCTTCAACTAACCTGTGGTTTTGCTTTCCCTGATTTTTTTTCAGAGGAAGCCAAAAAGTGCCAAGAGGCCAAAGAAGTGAAAGAAAAAAACGATGACATTGTTGCTGACGGCACGTGCACGAAGGAAACCTGCCCCGAGGAATAGAGAAAGGATTAATCGGCCCAGCTAGGGGTACGAAGCAAAACGATGTCCAAAGCAAGCTTTAGTACACGTGCATTGCTAGTTTCCATGCTCTCAGGAGTATTGTAACCATAACTCATAGCTAATATTTGATCATGCAAGTCACGTAGTGAAATTGACCTTAATTGAAATTTACCGATCCGTAGTCTCAGGCATTGAGCTTTTCAGACGACACTGTGTTGAGGATGTCAACTGATTATTTGCGGAGCTGTCGACTGGATTGTGCATTTTTCAGTCGGCAGATTAGTTATGAGACCCTAGTGGAATTAAAAGTGTAATTTCTATCAAATCACACACGTGTAAGAGATGTAAGAAGTGCAACGACCTATATTTGACAATGTGATATACCAAAAAAAATTTCATTCACGGGTTATGCCAACCGAAGCCAAAGTTACGGCCTGTACCAGGGACCAGAGGTTATAAGTTCAACTCGAAGTTCGCTGGTCCAATCTGCTCGCATATGGTAAGATATTCTAGGAAGGCAGCTGCGCCGATCCAACCTTTTACAAAAGTGGGCCGTACGTGTGTTTCTGTAGTGAAAGCTCCCGTCTTTAAAATTATCGAAAACCAGTGGACGGCAGAGAAAGAAATAGTAAAAAAAAAAGAAAAAAAGGAAGGTATCCTCAAACACCCTAAGTGGGAGCCCCCTCCTAAATCAAATTATTTGCTTGGAAATACTTGTGGTAATCATAACCGACGCTCTTATCCACCGGTGATGGCTTTGTCAGTTTGCTTCTGCTAAGTGCTTTTCCCGCTTTGGAAAGAGATTTACCCCCTTTCTGGCGATGCCCTTTGCCCCCAGAGTGTCGAAATTGGAAAGTGTGTACAAGGTCTTCCTGTCTTACACAGGAAATTGTTATTTTTTTTTAAATAATGAATCATGCCCAGTTAATTTTTCTGTCCAAAGCTATCAGCTGAGCTACATATCGTCGTCCACTTTCTGAACTGGTTGCTTTGGAATAGGATATGTTTGAAGAAGTGAAAAAAATTGTGGAGTTATGGAATTGCTATATATTTGTACGTGTAGAGACTTCTAATAAAACATGATATTAATTTGTTTAGAGTTTTTTCGACCAGAATTAGTTAGATGAAATCAATGGGAGACTTCAGACGCTTGGTGGCAGTAACACCGTTGTGAGCATGTGCACTTTACCCCAAGTGCGACACACAGTGGACTGGTCATGTGGGACAGACATGGGCAAGCCGCTAAGTGTCTCAACTCTCCCGTCCTCATGGGCTCATTTTTCCCAGTGAACACAAATGATTCAAATTTGTATCTTGCTGCTACATATGGACCTCGAGCTAGACCAATAGAGGGCGCTGTTTTGTTAGCAACAGAGGCTCCTTGGGTCAGAACTGAACTTCAGTGGTTCACAAACGACTAAGAAATGCACGCGTCATAATCGCATCGCTACCAACAAATTGAACACTCCCGACTAACGCAGCTCTTTTCAACGGATGACGGGGTGCTTCTGCTCGAGGATAGAGAGATCCAGCGACGCCAAAATCTGATAGGTGAAATAATTGCTGACTGTTATGGCACTGAAATCGCCCACAAGATCTCAACACCATACCAGTAAATCGAAAAGGATTTGGGGATTATTCCCTCCTTTTTGGCGAGGAAGATTGATTTATTCCCCTCATTTGCTTCGACAGTGTGAAATAGAAATGATATTTATTTTAGATTTCTCTAGGTCAAGCAACCCAAGTTTACAATCTTTTGATGGAAACAAAGAGCAAAATTTATTGCTCTTAAAATCTTTAAAAGTATTAGATACTGTATTAATGTAAGGGCATCCCTATTACATTTTTTGTGTTTGTGAAATAGTAAAAATGTAGTGTGTGAAGTGCAGTTTTATATCACTCCCATTTGAACCAAGAGTCGCTTTCTTGGGTTTAAATTTTGACAAAATAACATACGTAAATTTGCGATAGATAAGTACGCATTGGAGAATCCTTCTTTTAAGTTTAAACTCCAGATACCCATGTCGTTAAATTCTTGATACTGCGAAAGCCTTACCCCCACAATACGGGCATTTCACAATAGTGCGCCTCCAAGAGTTTGCAACGCGTTGACCAATCACAATGAGCGAAATTTGTCGACCCAACGCACGTTTGGAAAGGGTCGACCAATTTCACGCGTTGTGATTGGCCAACGCGTTGCAAACTCTTGGAGGCGCACTATTGTGAATCGCCCGTATTAAGGTTGTGCTATTGTCCTACTTACCCACAGGGCACACAGTAAACACACACAGTACATATACAATAAACATATCTTGATGTTATTCATTTAAAAAAAGTCGGGGGGGTAACTTCTCCCTCCCCTCTCTGGATACGCCATTGGAATCACTGCAGACAAATGCACAGACTAAAGCCAATAGTTTCAACTTGAACATAATTACCAAATTTAAACCCATTCCGTAACTATAGTTTCGTTACAACAGAGCTCCTGATTTCACTGCACTGCATCTTTTCCACATGATTCTTATTGAAAGTGCTTCAGTGTGTATCTGTGATAAACAGTGCCATCTTGACAAAAGATATGAATGTTGACAGTGTTAAACCCCCGAATATGAATGTGTTTCGCTTTGTGGAGAGTGGAAAATTTTGACATGGACATAAATATAAAACATATCAAAATAAAATGAAACTCGCTGGAGATTATTATACAAACACCAGGCTAAAAAGCTGTTCTTTTATATCGGTTGGTTTGTCATCAAGGTGAATGATATGTCTCCCTCTGATTCCATAATGCATACCTAAAATTGTTTATACGTTCAGGGAGAAGGTGGTTAAGTTTATGAACGCGGCTCTGAATCTTAAGGAGCAACTAGTGAGGCACACCATCCCATGATCACATAGAGTCTCTAAGTTGAAACAAGGAAGAGAGTCATCGCGTGAGATAAATATGGCATAATAATCCTCGCAGCTCTTTTTTTTTAGATAGATTCCAACAGGTTCAATTGATTCTAGGTCAAACCACCCCATGAAAGACTCGACATGCCAACTCCAAGACAAACCTATTACAAGCAATGTCGAATTCACACAGTTCTGTTTGATTTAACCCGACTCGACGTAGCTGAATTATCCTAACTTCAGATACAACCGCCTACATGGCAGCCTTAGCATATATGAACGCGGTCTTCAAAATCAAGTTTGCTAGTAACGGATAGACCTCCTCGTGTGAGAAAGTAAACTTGGAATGAAATGACTTAATTTAAACGAAATAATTTTGTCATGACCTCAAACCTTTGTCGCGTAATTATTCGTCTATGATATCTTTCTCCTGAGCTTGTCACCTCTTCGGCGTTTACCGTAGCATTTTTTAGCCTCTGTAAAGAAAGGAAACCACACAAGAATGGATTACTTGCAATCCACAAAGGAGGGCATCCATGATGGACTTGTTGAATCAGAGTTATATTGCACGTCGCGCAATTTGTGAATGTGGACGTTCAATGCGAATAGGAGGCTTGGAGGCGCTTGGTGGCAGCAGACATTAACAGTCAAAGGTGACCTGGTCAATGACTGCGTCACACTCTGCGTGTGCTCGAGCTCAAATTGACGGCTCAGTAGTAGAGAGTCGAGTGAGACCTGTATGTTTGCCGAAATCAGGCATTTCAACTTTCTCCAATCATTGAACGTCTTCTCCAATCCTTGGACGCCAATGTGGTCAACATTTGGCATATCTGTGTACTATCTGTCGGAAAGGAACGATCGGCGGCCGACAGATTAAGAGTGGTCACTGGTTTATAAATGCAAACGGTTGGTCCTTAGTCCGGGCGATGACCACAATAGGGCGCCCAAGTGTCGGCCCAGAGTCGCTCTTTGTCACAGGCGATTAGTGCTTTCTTTAAAAAAAAATCGAGAAAATTTACTGGCCCACCCTGTCGCAACTCTCTCTGCACAGCTCTGACCAATCCTCCTGTGCTAGTCTACGATTGTGTCCGCCAATGTGAGCACGTACTAATTATTTGCTCAAGCTTGACGCAAACAACAGTTCATCGGTGACCGAGGGGTATGTTTGCCGCCACCAAGCGACATTAAGTCTCCCATTTAAAGAGCCTTTGGATCATCCTCATTCACTAGAAAAAGGCAGCGGTCTTACCATCATACTTGCATACTCAGTCCAGACCACCCCAATAAGCCTTTTGCGAGAGAAATTTGAATACGCTTTTGTACACTGAGTTCTATAAATTCATGTGAACATAAAAATGTAATTCTCCATTTTAAAGCTACTGTTGTTATACCTCGTGATTCGGGGCAAGCTTTTGCTCAGTTTCATAACAGACGCCTTGCACCAATACACTGTTTTCAGTGGATAAGAAGGGCAAACAGGAACCAGTCCATTCCAGAGAGGTGGTCCAAGATTGTCTTCAAATTTTGACTGGCAAAAGGCTTATTGAACAGTCCACTCTCCAGAGAGACTGCAGTCCTCGTCGAGATCGGTGTCTGATTCAAAGGCGTTAGTACTTCAACAGCACTCACCAGTAGTCTGTATGACTTTTGGTATGAACTCATTCCACATGAGGCACTCCTTCGCCTTGATGCCACGCCCATTCCCCATGGATGGTGACAGGTCTTTATAGGCAAGTTCCTCGAGGGTAAACAACGGCCATTCTGGCAGTGTCGCCTCCTCCCCCTGCTCGTCATCCATGGCGGATAGATTAGGATTGCTACAAGTTGGGGTAAAAAAAATTGAAGACTGTTCTTCATTGCGAGATTTGTCAGCTTAAACAGTAATTATTATTATTTTTTACATCTGCTTTGAAAAGAGATACTTTGAAAACTTTTCTGCACCGTAAGTCTCTCCATACTCACCCAGTTTTAGCCAAATTGGACCAGTATTTGATGGTTTGGATCGACATCCGGGCTTCATCTTCGGTGAACGACCAGTTTGCAGAAGGGATGAGAGGCAGACCAAAGACGAAAATGAGATCGTCGCCGTGAGTCGCCTTGGTCCACTTATTGCCCAGCATGGGCGTAGTGGGGACATGACTCATGTGGTAGTGGTAGACCTTACGGCCCGCCTTGGTGAAGGCTTTGGCCGTTTTCACCCCAGGACAGACGAACATGGCGTCGCCGATAGCCTGCGAGAGGCTCTGGAGATAGTCACAGTCCGGTGTGTCCGCGCAGGAAGGGTCAGCGTACATCATCTTGGCTGCGTCTGCGACGATTGGTTCGGGGCTCACTGCCAATGCCAGGTGAAATTTAGCTTTGGCATCGTAGGTGTCACTGTCGACAAACGGTGCCTCGTCGGTGTTGCTGGGGAAGTCATTTTGTATCTCGAACATACCATCATAAGCAAACGCCCCGATGATAGAAACCGCATCGTTGATGGCGCCCCGCTCGTGGAGATCATCGGGGTCAGCAGGGATGACCGCACCGTCGACAACGGGTGCAAAGGGTAGAAGTTGTCCCCGACCAAATTTCTCAAGTAACTGAGAGAAAAAAGATTGAACATTTTAACTTTAATTTGCTGTTCCATTGGGAGCAAGGTCGCCTAGTATTCCCGAATCTGTACAGAGCAAAATATCTGACTGGAAACAAACCTGCAAGTTCTAAGTCATGATTACAAATTTCGGCCTCGGATTGAGCAAGACATATAAACAGTTACAAAATTCTTTCGCAGTCTATTCGTCAAAATTTATTTTTTAAGAGAAAAAGAAATGTGGTTTTCAAAGAATGATTTCAAGTGAAGCTCAAAATATAATGAAAACTTTGGCGTGATCACACCGGAATTGTTCGTAGTTGTTTATTTTTACTGTTACCTTTGTCATTTCTGTATTAAAGCACAGCAGAGTAAGAACCTTTGTCGGTTTCCGTGTCTATACCTACATTTTTTGTACAACTCAGCAAAAAAAATGAGAATGCCGGCCTACGTGTAATCCACCAACATGAGATGCAACATGCTGTGGATGATGCGCTACGTTTGAATTTTGACGATGTTTAATACATTGTACACGTCACACCCGTCAAAACACTTCAAACTCCATCCTGGACAATTTTCATGACAATTTGTTGGTATCAACGCTCACAGATGAATGTTGATCAAAAGGTGTTGAATTCTTGCCGTGCGCATTCGACGAAAATCCGAAATGCATGTCACTCCCTACTGATAATAGGTAAACGTGACGCAAGACAGACCTTCAAATAATGGTTTTCGACGATCTCTTCGAATCCCTCCACCTGTTGAAGACATTCCAGCAACTCTTCGGATGTTTGTCGTTCACAGCCGACCAGTTTGCCGAGACCAAACGCATGACGACGCGCCTGGCTTCCTGGAAGGGTTGCCCACGCAGCAGATGCGTCACCACTCTGGGTTCCAGACAAATAAAAAAACGAGACCTGGGCCGTTTTCCAATACCCGACTTCGTCTCCATATTCAATCTCCGATTGTGGACCTGGGAGTTCAAATTATTCGGCCTCGGGCGGGCCGTGATGGGGAAGGGCTCCTATTAACACCTCTTCAACAAGTGTCTTTACCTCCAAGATGGCTCCTCGGAAGAGACCTTCGCTTCCCGGTGACACCATGTGCAAACCCACGCTAGCCGCCCCAGCACTCAAACCAAAGATGGCCACTCGCGCAGGATCACCGCCGAAAGCTGATATTGGGGGAATAAAACAGCTCGTGTGGTAATCAAACGGCGCATGCCCAAAAAACAGCTCGTGTGGTAATCAAACGGCGCATGCCCAAAAAACAGCTCGTGTGGTAATCAAACGGCGCATGCCCAAAAAACAGCTCGTGTGGTAATCAAACGGCGCATGCCCAAAAAAACAGCTCGTGTGGTAATCAAACGGCGCATGCCCAAAAAAACAGCTTGCGTGGTAATCAAACGGCGCATGCCCAAAAAACAGCTCGTGTGGTAATCAAACGGCGCATGCCCAAAATGTCCAAACATGAGGAACCATTGGTCATATTTTTTTGTTAATTCACATGAAAAAATTGTGGTGCTAGAATGCCATACCTTGGATGTTGTCTCTCACCCATGCCAAGGCTAGACGCTGGTCCAAAAGACCCATGTTACCCGGAATAACGTCATCATCTAACACAAACAACATTCATTTCATTTTGTAATAGCTCACGATGTAATGTGCTTTAATTAGAAAGAACGTACCCGACACATGGCAACGTGATGCACACATGCGACTTAATTTGTGGGTTGCTTCAAAATTCTCATGTCAATAGCTTTTGCTCTCTTCTCTGGAAATTTTAACTTCAACTCACTGGTCGAAAGAAAGCCAAAAGAGCCGAGACGATAGTTCAGTGTTACAACAATGACGTCACCAACAGCAGCAGTGGGGATCGGGGACAGTTGTGCCATAACACCAGTTCCTACAAGGTAGCCACCGCCATGAATGTACACAAGAACAGCTGCACCTGGAGGCTACAAGAAAACAAAATAGGAATGAAATCTGCTTTCCCCTTAATTATCTCTCATTGTTATTCATTTATCGCATGCATATAGAGTACTGAAGTGAATACGTCACGCGCACAATTAGTGTGTAAAAGGCATGAGCGCGTGACCCAGCGCGTGAACAAACGCACGCGCGTACTCCATTCGTTTGCACTGTACTGCACTTTCTGGTTCACAGTGACGTCACACTTAGGCACTCTATATCCAGTTCGTAAGTGTGACGTCACTTCAGTTCAAACCACGCCCACTGCACAAGAGCTGGGTCATTCCATGCATGAGGTTGGGACACAATTTGTGACAGTGTCAATTGTTACATGGGTGCCGTGAAAAAATGAACAGCTATTTCCTTGAATGTGGATTCCAAATTGACATTGTTATACATCTTGCAAGGCTGAATACACAGGTGTGTGTTATTTTTACGGAGTAAATGACCTACTCTACAGGTCGTTACAGGTGGTAAAATTTACCCATGTAACAAAGACACCGTCGCACATTGTGCCCCAACCTCATGGAATGACCCAGCTACATGAAACCATAGGTGCTCCTCCAATGGAGGCTAGCAATCAGTGGTGCGTGTGCGTGCATGGCGAAGTCCCTTACGACCCGGATACATTTCCTTTGTGCAGTTCAATGGTAACCATTGATTTACAGTATTGAGACTGACATTCAAATCAATGTCTATTAAACCCTAGACCACTGTGTCTCACAAGAACAGCTTGATGAGGTAAGATCTTGAACTTTACAGTGTGAGGTTAAGCAAATAATAGTAGATTTGTGGTAGCACCATGCAGGAAAATTGTGTTGTGAGTTAATTGACGTTCATTGAAAGAATGGAGAGGGAACTCGACGTTTTGGACGGTATCTTATCTGTCCGTATCCGCTCCGAGCGGAACAAAAGAGGGCGTGTTTTTTGGTACTTACTGCATAGGCGGGCCATGAGGCTCACAAGTATATGCGTGTTTGACGCGGAACTTGTTCAGTTAGTACGCTTAACTAATTTGTTCGGGCTTGTATGGTCTTTGGGTACACGCAGACAGAGCGCGTGCAAGAACCCGCTTGTATAACCATCTGTCTTTCTTTCGCCGATTGGGGGTGCACTTCAACTCGGAGCGGATACGGTCAGAAATGTTCCTTTACGACCGGTTGTGCTATTCTTTTCAGAACCCCACAAACAGCCTCACAAACTCACAGAGATTTCCTACCTTGCTTCCTAAAACGATAGATAAATACTCAGTTTATGTGAATACAGTATATTGGATTCTTACGACAGGCTGAGGCACGAATACATCAAGAAATAGACAATCTTCATCGAACGGCCCAGTCATTGTGTAATTTCCGAAAGGCACGAGGGGTTGTGGGCAGCGGTTGCCCAGCTTGGTGGCCTGAAGCTCCCCGCTCCATGACTTAGCGACGGGAGGTTTGAAGCGCAGCGGGCCGACGGGAGCCTCAGCGTACGGTATGCCGAGGTAGGCGTCCACGCGCCGGCGAAGCGCGGGGTCGGTGGGGCTGAACTCGAGCCTCGTGCCGACGATGCGACCCTGGCTCGTGGTGACGACCGGAGGGTCCTCGCTTGTCTCTGTTGCGACACAGAAAACCAGCCACCAAACGCCAAGAAACCTCAGGTACCCCATTTTCGAGGCAGGAAGTTGTCAGGAGAGTGAAGCTGGTCGCTACTTTAGTGTTTGACACTATGCGACAGCACCCATGCCAAGTGCGTGCGCATCAGGCAATTGCAAGTTTCAACGACGACCATTCGTTACGTATCGTTGATGTTTACTTGCTATTCAATATCTTTTTTTTTGCGCAAGGATTACCAGGGAAAAATCAACGAGTGTCAACCAACGGTTTTTACTCGAACTTGTCCCAGGCTGTGAATGAGCCGATGGGCAAACAAGATATGACCGAGACTTTGAGCTTGGCCAAGGGCTGAGATGCAGAGTTTTGAGTAACTAGCATTTACATGACTGTAGGCAGAGATCTACTTTCAGCATGGCTGCTATCTTACGGGCCAATGTTTTTGTTCCACTGGGTATGCACAAAGGAGGTTCCCCCATGGAAAAAAAGAGCTGCCCTGCAAGATGGCTACCACGTAAAACCACTATAGTTGTTGCAAGCTTAGTACATGTATAGTTGTTACACTTGCATCCACGCCTTTCCAATAGAGGGTCTGCATTGCTGCCACCTTGCGGGCCAGTGCTTTTGTTCCGCAGAGTATGCACAAAGGAGTTTCCCTGTCGAATGAAAGAACTGCTCTGCAAGATGGCTACCACGCAAAGCCTCAATTGCCGGGAAATTTAGCCTGCTGCCCGAAATATTGTTTCCATTGTTGACTTGATGGCATGTAAAATCTGTGCTTCGCTTCACTTTAGAAAGTCTTGAAGCTGGAATTTGTAACAATTCACTTCGTTGTATGCTAGGCATAATCTGTCGGAAATAATGGTGCGTGGGATATAGTCCATTGTCTATTGAAACGCCGTACACAAAATGAAAGGTCACGTTCAGGGGCCAAAGGGTAGAGGGAGATAGGCCTTATGCTAGTTATATTGTTGGCTGTTCAATGGTAAGCAGCGAACTTTAGACGGGGAAAGAAATAAAGTCGTGTGGTAACGTGGTGACTCAATCGGTGAATAAGCGCTATCGCGTATGCACAGAGTATTAAACTGCCCTTGTTATTTGATTTCTACCTTTGCGTTGTATTCAAAATGTTGAACACTCAACGTTAATTTTGAACTGATCAGTAGGCCTCTGTACTGATGACGTCACGCTTTGTTTACGTGAGCGCCTTTCTCTATATATAGACCTTTTTTACCCACGTGACTAAATGCAAACAATACCACCACGTGTGGACCGACGTGACCACGGTGATCGCATGTATTCCTACGGGCAGCTTCAAACACGTGCAAGCGCACATGCTAACGCTGCATGCTTGACTAGTTTATCTTGAATAGGTAGATTACCATCACAACTCCATGTACTCATTACCATCACAACAGGTGGCGGTCCAGCACGACCGTGACGTCACGGGAACAAGGTCTATATAGCAACTGAGGTTTTCGCAGGACAGCACGCTTGTAAGCAAAGTGTGGCGTCACCGATACAAGGGGTCCATTGGTGTGGGTAAAACATATTATTTTGTGGTTGTTCAGTTCAGCTACAGGTTTCCCTACAAATGCCACTTTTTAAGCCTACTTCCTCAAGAATGTACGCTTTAGCGAGGAAGAGAAATTTTAAAAAGGAAGTAGACAAAAATCACCTGCCTTAGGCCTACTCAGTTCGGTCAAATTTGAACCGGCACTTATTTTATGCTGCTGGTAAGCACTCAACCTCGCATTCTGCATTTAATACGAGCCTGTACTAACCAGGTGTATGTGTAGGCCTACTGATTAACTCTAAACATAGAACCTCCTGATGTTTCTTCTGAACCCAATTATTTCGTAGGTCCTTGGTATAGTGCCTACTTTGCTCATTGGATAACCTGACCCCGGAGTTGCGTTTAATGACAGACAGGGGACATAGAAATACAAGAATGGAAAGCAAGCTTTACATAAAATTATGAAAAGCGAAGAGCGATTGGTCTTTTATTTTAACATTTGGATTTAATAGCAATGAAAGAAACCAATGTTAAAGGTTTCAAGTTATAATTGACACACATATACTATCGTAACGGTGACAAACAACGACAAATGCTGTTAAGTCAAGGCCAAATTCCTTTTTTGACTGCAACAAATGAAACCCTTTTCACCAAAAGTCTCTGAATCTTTGCCTACACCGCCTTCTTATCCAAAGCACCTTGTTTAAGCTCAGCTGAAAGATCAAATGAAAAGAGACGAAGAGAGGAAAATCCCAGGGGCCCACGAAAAGCCTAACATGAAGTGTAACATGAACTACCGCGTTCTTCCTATGTGAATATGTAAAAAGGAATTTAAGAAAATGGCCGAAATGGTACTTTGCTGTTAAGGTTCATCTGGCCCGACCCCACACAGCTGAAAGATCAAATGAAAAGAGACGGTGAGAGAAAAATCCCAGGGGGCCCACGAAAAGCCTAACATGAAGTGTAACATGATCTACCCCGTTCTTCCTATGTGAATATGCAAAAAGGAATTTACGAAAATGGCCGAAATGGTACTTTGCTGTTAAGGTTCATCTGGCCCAACCCCATACTTGGTCGATTCATCATTCCTATATTCCTCGGAGCAGGTCTTCTTTGTGCATGTGCCGTCTGGAACGATACCGCCCTTATCCTCTTTTACGTTTTTGGCCTCTTGGCACTTTTTGGCTTCCTCTGAAAAAAAAAACATTGAAAATATGAGGAACACTTCCTTTCTAATCCAGATGGTAGAGTCGTACCGGAACCAAATTAATTTTTTTTTTGTTAAAATGCGGTAATGCCCGACTCCGCAATTTGAGACAAATCTCCAAGCTGAGATATTTTTGAGCCCCCGTGTCGACTTTTGCATGTTTATCCGTCAACAGCACTCACCAGCAATGTGAACGAGTTTTGGTATGAACTCGTTCCACATGAGGCACTCTTTAGCCTTGATGCCACGCCCATTCCCCATGGATGGTGACAGGTCTTTGTAGGCCATTTCCTCGAGGGTAAACAACGGCCATTCCGGCAGCTTCTCCCCCTCCCCCCGCTCGTCATCTAGGGAAGACAGATTAGGGTTGCTGAAATAGGGACGGAAAGGTAAATTGGGCCGTGTTTATTATTGATTTCTTTATTTCGATTTGGCCACATTTTTAAAAAAGAGAGACGGGTGCGGAATCAGCGTTGAAAGAATTTCTTCACTTAATAACTACGAGCTCACCCAGTTTTAGCTAGGTTCGCCCAGTACTTGATGGTCCGGATCGACATCCGGGCTTCATCCTCGGTGAACGACCAGTTTGCAGAAGGGATGAGAGGCAGACCAAAGACGAAAATGAGATCGTCACCGTGAGTCGCCTTGGTCCACTTATTGCCCAGCATGGGCGTAGTGGGGACGTGACGCATGTGGTAGTGGTAGACCTTACGGCCCGCCTTGGCGAAGGCCTTGGCCGTTTTCACCCCAGGACAGACGAACATGGCGTCGCCGATAACCTGCGAGAGGCTTTGAAGATAGTCGCAGTCCGGTGCACCCGCGCAGGTAGCGTCAGTGTAAATCATTTTGGTGAAGTCTGCGACGATTGGCTCGGGGCTTACCAAGAAAGAGAGTTTAATTTTCGCGTGGGTATCGTAGGTGTTGCTGTCAACAAACGGCGCTTCGTTGGTGCAGTTTGGGAAGGCAGGTGCGACCATAAGCAGACCCTCATCTGCGAGAGCCCCGATGATAGAAACTGCATCGTTGATGGCACCCTGCTCGTTAAGGTCATTGGGGTCAGCAGGAATGACCTTGCCATCAACAACGGGGGCAAAGGTCAACTGTAACATATGCCCTCCTAATTCTGCGAGTAACTGCAAAATAATTTCCCAAAAGACAACCCTTTTAGTTTCAAAAGCAATGAAAACAGAGTATTTAAAACATCCAAGCATGAAATTATACGATCCGTGTGGTCCATATCGAGATATTATGATTTCAAAGGAGAATTGCAGGAACCAATGCGTGAATATTTATGATTTTAATTATTATTCAAACCGCCAGTTTTCATGTAGTCATTTCAATAAAAGGTGACTCTGTCTGACAAAAATGATTTTTCTTTATTCTTTCGTGCGCCTGCATTCTGCGAGTTTGGCTGAACAGTTATTCGAAGTTCATATCAGGCGGTGCCAATTTGACGAAAATCTGTACTTATATGTAATATTAACATAAGTCAGTGATACAACACAAACCTTCTCATATTGGTTTTCGATGATCTTGTCAAATCCCTCCAACTGCTGCAGACATTCCAGCAACGCTGCTGACGTTTGTCGTTCGCAGCCGACCAGCTTTCCAAAAGTGAAGGCTCGATTGGTTGCCTCGCTGGCCGGAACGGTCGCCCATGGGGCAACCGCGTCACCGCTCTGGGTACCAGACACATAATAAAGACCTCATAAAAACCACACCGTGCCCCGAGCAGGCAGGTGTTTGGTTGGCACAGGTCTGTCGTTCTTCCCAAACTTGAATTTATATTCACACAAAATAAACAAGCACCATAAAAGAATTCAGCTCACCAATTTTACCGTGCACGGTTGTCGTTATCGTTCCAATCTAGTATTGGATGCTGGTTCCACATTTTTCTCCTACCTTTTGCCATTTATAAAGCTTTTAAGACCTAGCCTACCTACAACCTAAATAGCTTAACAGCACCTCATTCTTTGCCTATGACGATGGCAGTGGAGCTTGGGTCATACGTCGGTCAGTGAAAGCACCCGTAGCAGAGCAAAATTTATTCTCTGGCCGATCGATAAATAAATATAGCATGTTTCTGCACATGTGCTAGCATCTTTACATGCAGGTTAAATTCGGGAAGGGTTACTTCTTTGCAATTTTGTGTAAAAAATGGGTATGAGAACGCATAAAACGAGATCTGATCCCGAAATTCCAAAATCTCAAAGAGAGAAAAAATCGTACGCAAAAAGTGCATTCGGTTCAAAATGACCGATTCTATTGCGCCCTGATAAATAACCTTTGAACACAAACATGAAATATGATTTTTGTTTTCTATGAGTATTGTAGTTGAGTCCAACTCTTCTAAGTTCACGTTCTACTCGTTTGAGTCTGTGTTTTAAAAAAATCTGAGTCTGTGTAAAAAGATCATACCCTTACTCAAGTCTAAGTCCGATTCATGATTCCACGTAGCCTGTTTTCTTTTCAAATTCCTTCACCAGATAAAAACCATAATAAGTGCTTTGCTTTTCTTGGCCTGAAAAAATAACGAGGTAACTTGTGAAGTTGGCCATGGTTACCAAGTCCTGTAATTGAGAACCCGGTACAAAGTCTGGATGGACAACCCAACGGTTAGCACAGGAGCTGGAGATGCTTCGTAAATTAACTGACTAAGTCTGCAAGTGGTATATAGCCTGGCAGTTGAGGTTTGCGACTTGTGACCATAGTCGGGGGCTCTCAGGCTGCATCCAAATCTCTTGTCTAGAGGTTTTCAATCCATTGTAAATGCGTGGAGACGCGTAGACAATAGACCTAGCCGTAGCTCTGGAAGCCCCTTTTCGGACACGGCCAAATCCAGCTGCTGGCCATGAGCTGTGGAACTGGGCAAGGTACTTTGCCTTTACTTGCCTGTCTCCACCCACGAATAGAATGGGTACCGGCGTCAGGTGAGGAGAAACCTTTCATAGACTGGTATCCCGTTCAGGCCGGAATACAAATATTCTCGGTCATTTTATAAAAAGGAAACTGGAGAAAACACAAATCTGACGCCCCCCCGGTATTATGCTGGGGCATTTTGTGGGGGTTACCTCTAAGATGGCACCCCGATAGAGACCTCCACTGTCTGGTGACACCATGTGCAAACCCACGCTAGCTGCCCCTGCACTCTCACCGAAGATGGCCACTCGTGATGGATCACCGCCGAAAGCTGCCCGTCGAGACAAACAAATAAACCAAAATCAAGAAAAGGTCGTGAATTTCAATTAAAAACTCCTAAAATGCATCCTCTGAAAATGCTTTTGCCTCTCGTTGAGGAGCTGGGTGGTAATTTTTAAAAATGCAGGTAATCTCCTGAAAAGGATGGGGTGGGGACTCCAAAAAGGAAGGAGGGTGTTCGATTTTTCCTTCCTCGGTGTGAGAGTTGTTTTTTTTAGATTGAAATAATCAGTCAATAAGAGAAAAACAGGAAAAGAGAACATATGCCAATTACACAAAGCAAAAAAAAAAACACAAACAAACAGACCCCAAACGGTGGAAACAAACAAAGGAGCGGGCTCCGCTTGTATCGGCTGGCATGTCATACCTTTGATGTTGTCTCTCACCCATTCCAGGGCTAGACGCTGATCCAAAAGTCCCATGTTACCTGCGATGACGTCATCATCTAGTGCAGAAAAGGATACATTGCTAATGTGAGTGACTCGCACGTCAACAGTTCCTATAAAAGTGAACCACTTCGTCTGACTTGATTGGTACTTGAACATTTTAAACTTTGATTCGTGTTGTTTGTTTCAAAATGGAACGTTAACTTACTTGTTGAAAGAAAGCCGAGAGCCCCGAGTCGATAGTTCAGTGTTACGACAATCACATCACCAACAGCAGCAGTGGCAATCGGGTAAACATCCCCCATGACACCAGCTCCTACGATGAAGCCACCGCCATGAATGAAGACAAGAACGGCTGCGTTTGGAGGCTACACAGAAACAAGACCGAAATGTGTTCTTCATTGATGCTGATTCCACAAGGCCCTCTCAGGCCCTCTCTTAAAGAGGCACTGTCTGCTCACCTAGGTTTGTAATGGTCTTCTGCAGCTTCGAAGATTCCAAAGTCATACGAAAAAAAATACGATGGGAGTCAGGTTGGCGTAGTGGTTCTTTCCTCGCCTTTCACCTCTGCGGGTTCGAATCCCGGCCTAGTCCCCAGGTGAGTTTTCTGATTCTGTAGGTTTTACTCAGAATATTCCTCTGGACTTTTCCTCCCACCTCTAAAACTGTAACTGCTTCCCATTGTTTCCTCTCTACAGGTTAGGCTTGCAAGCTACAGTGCCTATGGCTCTCTTGAGGAATACTTGGTGCCATTACCAGAAACAATTAACAAATTCAGAATCCAAGATATGTGACGAAATAATTATGTCAAAACTTTGATTGTCTCCTCTCAGAGCGATCACCACTCTGTATACATTTGCTCACCACTTTGTATACATTTGCGACCAAAGCGTAACAGTTTAGGAAAGGGCAGGCCTCCAATCATTTTTTTTCCTAACGCCCCAAAAACTAGCACCTTAAAGATCCTTATGATTTTGAAGCTGTGTTCACTTAATGTACTTTAATTGAAAGATTGATTGATAAGTGGTTTCACGAGAGAAAACAAAGTATCGAAATCCTGCCTAAACTTCTGGAAAAAGGACTATCAACGATTTTCACATGGTCTCATATGAATGTTGAAATAGGTAATGGTCCCGTCGACGTCATACACAAAATCTGCCAAAGAGTTAAGAAAAACTCTGTGGCTATTGTTATGGAAGCGGAGACAGGTTTCTGTCTACTGTCATGCACCATCCAGGCGCCTTAGAAAGAAACGGGAACCAGAATATTCTATAGATCTTGGACTACATTTGATCATCCTCCAAAGGTATGAATCTTTCAAAAAATGAGAGAAAACCATGGACAGAAAGTAAACATGCGCCGTTATTGAGAAAATAAAGACATTAAAAAAAGGAGGGGAAAAACGCATATCTGGTGGACTTGATCCTGTCAAGCGCGGATAGCAGAAAGCGCGCGCACCGACTGAGCTATCGCAATGCCACGGCGACGTCTGGGAAACTGAAACCTTATAACATCTGCAATGATAATTGCTCCATGCAATAACTTGAATTTGGAAGTCTTATTACGGTTACCGTAACTATAGCCACTCTATAAGAAACATGGGATTCTCACAACAGGTTGGGGCACAAATACATCGACACAAAGACAATCTTCAGCGAAAGGCCCAGTCACATTCACGTTTATGGTGGGGAAGAAGTGGGGCTGAGGGCAGCGGTTGCCCAGCTTGGTGGCCTGAAGCTCCCCGCTCCATGACTTAGCGACGGGAGGTTTGAAGCGCAGCGGGCCGACGGGAGCCTCAGCGTACGGTATGCCGAGGTAGGCGTCCACGCTCCGGCGAAGCGCGGGGTCGGTGGGGCTGAACTCGAGCCTCGTGCCGAGGATGCGACCCTGGCTCGTGGTGACGACCGGAGGGTCCTTACCCTCCGCCGAAGCCACAGAGAAAACCAGACACAAAACGCAGAACTTCAGGTACACCATTTTCACGTCACCAAATCGTCAGTCGCGTGCAGCTGGTTGCTACTTTTATCGGGTTTGTCAATAAACTCACAAGCCTAGCGCGTGCGCAACAGACAGTGACGGGTTCCAGCGATGACCATTCTGTCAACCTCTCATCGACATTTGCCTGGTATCCAATATTTATTTTGCTCACAGATTACCTGGGAAAATCTACCAACCGTCACAAACGGTTCTCACTCGAACTTACCCCAGACTGTGTAAATGAGCCGACGGGTCAACAAGATACGACCGAGACTTTGAACCTGACTGGCCATGGAATGTACAGGTTGCCAGACATTCCACACACACACACACAAAGTAACAAGCGTTTGCATATGGGCAAAGCTCTACTTAACCAACCCCCACAGCAGTACCTATATGCACTGGATTAACCATCTGCAAGCCTACGGTCGAGTTGTTCGCACATCAACGTCTTTCACACTCCCAGGAAATGTGCCGCTCAAGATGGTCTACAATTGTTCTAGGACATGAAATCATGTGACATGAAAAGTAGTTTGTCGTCATTTTTAAACGCGAGGAAGGCTCCCCTTTTAATTAGGCCTACGTGGAATTTATCTCATTGAGCTATAAGCCTATCTGGCAGATTCAAAATCTATTTTACATGGCGTTATGGGTTTGTTCCATCGTCGCGAGGGTGTATATCAAAATATCAAAATTATAGCAACATCGTGGAAACACAGAAAGACAACGCATAGTGAAATTAATAACAGAACCACAGTGTTTTGAAACATTTTCACACAACGTCGTAAGGTCACACTTAGAGGTTCTATGTAAATCGAAGGGTTTGCCCGTCATGTCTCACAACAATGGCTGAACGCACGAGCCCAAATAAAAATTGTTGCAGTATATGAGCAGTCTTGAGGCAGATGCTTCTACACAGCCTCGACACTTCATTCTTTCCCTGGCTTGATCTTGATTTCACTCCACATGTATAGATTAAATAATTATAGTATCGAACTCAATAATGTACGAAGATTCCAAAGTATAATTGATGTTCAAGTATATATATATCACAATGTTAAAAACACTAACAACAGCCATTCAACGCTACAATGTTATTCAACTGTGTGTAAATTCGTTTTGGACCAATCAAACCCCTCATTACAACTCTCTCATTCACACGTTTGACTGCCTACAGACCCTTATCAAGCATTCTTATCTAAAAAGCAGTTTGCCTTTAGCTAAAAAAGACAAAAGAAGAAAACAACCAGAATGCGTAAAACGTACATAAAATTTGAATAAGCTTGCCCAGTTCTTTTTAATGTGAAGATAATATCGAGTGTAAGCGGTTCATTGCTTTTAGAAATCGTTTGGTCCCAAACCCCAGCTGGGTAGATGAATCATTCCTCTATTCTTCTGGGCAGGTCTCCTTCGTGCACGTTCCTTCCTCATCGACGCCATCTTTGTTCTCTTTCGCCTCTTCGGTCTCTCGGCACTTTTTGGCTTCCTCTGAAATCCATGGAAAAAAACCAAAGGTTATTTGAGGAACGGTTCATTTGTAATACAGGTGGTCAGGTCATACTAGCGAGAGAAGTTGATGGAAAAGGCGCGCCATTCTAAAATTTGAGAAATTTAAAATCTCAAATCCCAAAACGTAAGCATTTAATGCTATGCGTCGACTGTTTCATTAATGTTTGTCAATAGCACTCACTGGCGATATGAACGAGTTTTGGTATGAATTCGTTCCACATGAGGCACTCCTTGGCCTTGATGCCACGCCCATTCCCCATAGATGGTGACAGGTCTTTGTAGGCGAGTTCCTCCAGGGTAAACAACGGCCATTCCGGCAGTTTCTCCTCCTCCCCCTGCTCGGCATCCAAGGAGGACAGATTAGGATTGCTAAAATCAGAATAAAAAGGCAAACTGAAGGGTGTCCTTCTATGCAAAATTTAACAGCTTTAACAGCCATTTTTGAAAAATGTCCCAATAAAAGAGATAAAACAAGCTTTAAAAAAATTTTACTCAGCCTTTCGTGGCGCACCTAGTTTTAGCTAAATTCGCCCAGTATTTGATGGTCCGGATCGACATCCGGGCTTCATCCTCGGTGAATGACCAGTTTGCAGAAGCGATGAGAGGCATACCAAAGACGAAAATGAGATCGTCGCCGTGCATAGACTTGGTCCACTTATTGCCCAGTAAGGATGTGGTAGCGATATGACTCATGTGGTAGTAGTAGACCTTGCGGCCTGCCTTGGTGAAGGCTTTGGCCGTTTTCACCGCAGAACAGACAAACATGGGGTCGCCGATAACCTGCGAGAGGCTCTGAAGATAGTCGCAGTCTGGTGCGTCTGCGCAGGTAGCGTCAGTGTACATCATTCTGGCTGCGTCTGCGACGATCGGCTCGGGGCTTACCAACAAGGAGAGTTGAGTTTTGGCGTAGACATCGTAGGTGTCGCTGTCGACAAACGGCGCTTCGTCGGTGTTGTTCGGGAAGTTAGGTTTGACCATGAACATACCCTCATCTGCAAGAGACCCGATAATCGCGACGGCGTCGTTGATGGCGCCCTGCTCGTAGAGGTCACTGAGGTCAGCAGGAATGACCTCGCCATCAACAACGGGTGCAAAGGTCAACTGTAACATCTCCTCTCCCAATTGTGCAAGTAACTGCAATTTTTTTCCAAAAGAACAAGTTCTACTTTATAAAAGCAGAGAAAACACAGTATTTAAAACATATCTAAGCGTGAAATTGTCTGGAAACGTACCCCTAGCGTTCCATATCAAAAGGTGCTGATTTCAAATGAGGATAAATTCTGGCACCAACGTGTGCAAGTGATGATTTTAAGTAAATATTCAATTTTTAATACGGCAATCGTCCTATTGACATGCAATCAAATAAAAAAGAGGCACTCTAAGTCCCTGTCCAAGATGACTTTTCTTTCGCGGGCTTATCCATTCTGCGAGTTTTGGTTACTGGACAAGTCGTGGTTGAAATCTTGCGGTGCGATGTATTTTTTTCTGTCATAAAATGAGTCAGTGATGAAAAACGAACCTTCTCATATTGGTTTTCGATGATCGTGTCAAATCCCTCCAACTGCTGCAGACACTTCAGCAACTCTTCCGACGTTTGGCGTTCGCAGCCAACTAGCTTTCCAAAAGTGAAGGCTCGACGGGGTGCCTCACTAGCCGGAATGGTGGCCCACGGGGCAGCCGCATCACCACTCTGGGTACCAGGCACATAATGTAAGACAGCATGAGACAACACCTATTCCCGAGAATGGCCGCCACTTCAGCAGGCAAGTGTTTGGTTGGCAAACGCATATTTTGACGGGCAGTGGGGTTCATTTTCACATAAAATAACTTTGCATTCTTCATCAAATGGCGAGATGGTCACCATGCTCGGTTGGCGTTATTGCTACGATCCAGCAGCGGGCCCTGGCTCTAACTACTGTTGACGATTCATAGCACTTTTAAGGCTGGATTCGTTTGGCATTGTAACTACTGATGCCTCGAATGAGTTTGGTTAACAGTGGCAAGCAAGCCTAGATATTACGTTTGTATTCGGCACGGTAAGATGGCCGCCGCTGTCTTCAATGACCTATGTGTGCTGATTAAATTAAGGGGCATTATGGCTCCAGGTTGGCTTCAAATGAAATCTGTGCCTCAACACCGCAGGCGGCGCCCCATACTTTGTCTGTGACAATGGCCGATATACTTTGGATCATGTGGGTCAGTGGAAGCAAGCCATAGCGCAATACCACAAGTTATAGACCTTATTCGCGGCGTCCTCAATTTCAGTCGTATTCCTGAACGTACATTGTCAATTTGACACCCGTAATGGGGTGGTACCAGGTGATTTTGGGGGTCGGAATGAAATCGTAGAATATAGTCTGGTTCTTTAAATTTAACGCTTTCAAATAAATACACTACGTTGGGGAATACGACTGAAATTGGGGACGCCGTGACAGATCCATAAATTAATAACGTATGCTTAAGCGCATGGGCCAGCAAATATACATGCAGGTAGGCCTATTAGTTCAATGTATTTCCAGACATTTCTGGGAATGGGGTAACCCGTAAGCTCACGTTTTACGGGTACGTGAACACCCACTCTTTTTTATAGTACCCTATTTAGGGTTTTTTTCACCTCCAAGATGACGCCTCGGTAAAGCCCTCCACTTCCCGGTGACACCATGTGCAAACCCACGCTGGCCGCCCCAGCACTCACACCAAAGATAGTCACTCGTGCGGGATCACCGCCGAAAGCTGAAAGGCAAGAGAAAAAAAACCAATTTCAATTCAAAACTGACAAAATGCATCACTGAAGGAAGATTCCGCCCCAGGGCGTAAATACTTGGGGATTGGAATATATTTATATTCCCCTCCCTTTTTGACTATATACAGGGAGGGATGGACTACTGAATTCTCACCCATTTTTTCATGGTGAGAACAAATCCAGGCGGATTGTGAAGGATTACTTCAGACTTTCCAACACTCAAACTGTATTCTATAGCATTCAAAAAGGTAGAACAAACAAATAAGCCATAACTATTGCGTTCTGATGTAATAAATAGTAAGATGTATATCTGTATAATAAACGTTCCCCCTACAAAGAGATGTGTTAGCACCCCCCTGCTTTTCTAGAGCTGTTAGCACCTCCCCCTGATTTTCTAGAGCTGTTAGCACCTCCCCCTGCTTTTCTAGAGCTGTTAGCACCTCCCCATGCTTTTCAAATTTCCATGGCTGGGCAAGTCTCCCCCCTCCCACAATTCCCCTTCCTTCCGACTGCCAGCACAAATTTACGCCACTGCCTGCCTTGGTTAAATGGATAATTTAAAATACATGTACTAAAAAGTGTTTTCCCCAGTGACAGGATGGGTAGGGGGCTCTAAAAAGAGCGGGGGGGGCTGGGGATGACACGTGTGGGCGGGGCATACGATGATGAATTTCCCACTTCTGTGAGAAAAGCTGTTTCTGTGAAGTAAAATAACCAGTTGAAGAAGAAGAAACGGGGAAAGATTCCTTTAAACACAACACGAATCAAACGAAAGCAGACCAACAATTATGAAAAAACGTAGGAGCGGGCACAGGTTGCATTCATTGGTTCGCCATACCTTTGATGTTGTCTCTCACCCACTCCATGGCTAGACGCTGGTCCAAAAGACCCATGTTACCCGGAATGACGTCATCGTCTAGTGCAAACAGGGAATACAATGTTATTGTGAGCAACTTGCTCATGTGTATAATGTATCCTTCACTCTTTTACCTTGGGTGAGAAAAAGGCAAACAACCCCCCCCCCAAAAGCAAACAACGAACACCCAAACAATAAACAAAACAAAAACAGATCCTGTTTCGTGGCATCTGTAAAATAAAGTACATTTATAGGCTGGTAGGATTGTTTTCACACTTTTTTCGACTGATTCGGCGTACAGCTAAGTGCTAATTGGTGGCATTTGTTTCAAATGGAAATAAACCGAACTTTTAAGGGTAATCCACCTAGAGCAGGAGCACCCCCTCATCGGTTGAAAAAGAGCCATGTTGGTTGGGAGTGTTCATTTTGTTGGTAACGATGCGACCGTAATGCGTGCATTTTATCGTCGTTTGTCAACCAGCAAAGTGCAGTTCCTACCGAAGGAGCCTGCGTTCCTAGGAAAATTGCACCCTCTCTTGGTCAAGCTCAAGGCGCCTAAACATGCATAATTGCGTGAGTGAATAAGTCAAGACTAGTGAACTTTTCTGCACCACATTCAAACTGCAATGGACACATTTCCCGAAAATCCACGTTTTCCCAAACTTGTCCCCCTAAACACTGTAAGGTTGGGTTATTTATTTTGCCTTTGAACTAGCTATCATGACTTCCGAATCAGCTTTTTTTTGCACCTTCTGTTGAAAATAAACGTAAGCAGCTTACGCCATGCAGGCTTGAGGGTGTAAACCATGTACATACCAACCTTGGCTTTCTTTACTCATCGGGAATTGTGAATTACACAGTTTTTGCTTGAGGCTACGGATATGTACCAGTGCCGTTGATTAACACTGTCAAAAATATAGGCTCTTTATACCAAAATATAGAGCTTAGCCAGCTGCGTGCACATATGAAGGTCAACAGTTCCAACAGAGTAAACCGCCGCGGCTTATTTGTTTGGACCTTAAACCTTTTGACGTTGATACCTCTTCCTCCTGGAAATTTCAATAACTCACTTGTTGAAAGAAAACCGAGAGCCCCGAGTCGATAATTCAGTGTTACGACAATAACATCACCAATGGTAGCAGTGGCAACGGGGGGCATATCCTCCAGGACACCTGTTCCAGTGGTGAAGCCACCGCCATGAATAAAGACAAGAACGGCTGCATTTGGAGGCTACGAGGAAACAAAACAGAAATGCACTCTTATAACGTCTCCGCTCTTTAGTTGATCGGGCACCTCCCAGTCCTATTTTTCTATTCAGGCCGATAATTCGCCTTTCCTCCAGTGCAGTGCTTTCATATGATCACGATATTTCGCGTGAGAGACAAGACGCGCCGCAGAATTTTGAATGCGCTGTAATTTGGTAGTCTCGTACTTCAGGCAAACCAAACAAAAGACTGTTATAGTAGTCTGATCTGGAAGTGACAAATGTGTGCACGAGGTGCTCAGTTGATTGGCTATCAAAGTACTTACGCATCTGAACAATTTTATACACAACATATGAAGCTGACTTGGTAACAGATTTCAAATTAGATTAATGAATAGATTGACTAGTGGTTTTGCAAGAAAAAACTTGCAGCCTACCCAACTGTGTGTAAAAATGGACTACTATCGATTTTTTTAAGTGACCACAATACAAATGTTTATAGGTGATGGTCCCTTTGGACACAAACTCCTCTACCAAAGAATAAGCAAAAATGAGATTCTTACAACAGGTTGAGGCACAAATACATCGACACACAAACAGTCCTCGGCGAAAGGTCCGGTCACTGTCAGGTTTACGGCAGGGAAAAAGAGGGGTTGTGGGCAGCGGTTTCCCAGCTTGGTAGCCTGAAGCTCCCCGCTCCATGACTTAGCGACGGGAGGTTTGAAGCGCAGCGGGCCGACGGGAGCCTCAGCGTACGGTATGCCGAGGTAGGCGTCCACGCTCCGGCGAAGCGCAGGGTCGATGGGGCTGAACTCAAGCCTCGTGCCAACGATGCGACCCTGGCTCGTGGTGACGACCGGAGGGTCCTTGCTGGCTGCTGACGCGACAGAAAGAGCCAGGCACAAAACGCTAAGACACTTTAGGTGCCCCATTTTAATGCCACTAAACTTCAGTAGTTTGCAGCTGGTTGCTACTATTATCTTGTTTATCGATAAACAGCTCACACGCCTTGCCCTTGCGCATCAATAACAGGTTTCAGCGACCACCTGTTTTGTCAACCTCTTGTCGGTCTTTGCCTAGTATTGAAGATATACTGTGTTCAATATACACTTTCCTCACAAATTACCAGGAAAAATCTACCAATAATTGAAAAATGGGTCTGTCTCGAACTTGCTTCAGGCTGTGCAAATGAACTGACGGGTAAACAAGATACGACAGAGACTTTGATCCTCACCGAGGGGTTCCATGGGTCGAAACATTAATGAGTAAAGCGTTTGCATGTAAGCAGAGGTCTACTTTGCCAACTTCCCACAGCAGTACTCAGGACATCAAGCACCAGGCTAACAATTTTGCAACGTTATAGTCAAGTCGTCACACATCCACAACTTTTAATCTGCTCGGGAATATACTGCCCAAAGCATAGGCGTAAATCCCGGGGGATGGGGTTCCCCCAACTTCCGGCACAGATTTACGCCACTGGCCAAAATGATCTGTTTGGATTTAGTACTTGAAGCCACGTAAGCCCTTACACATTTTAAAAGATAGTTTCTCGTCCCAGTTTTCAAGGAACGGTGAAATATGGCTGATTTTTCGTAATATAGCTTTGAATACATGGACGTGTTATTTATTTCAAGGAGCTATTGCCCTATCAAACAGGCTTTGAATGCGTATTGCATATTAATGGGGGAGCTGCTCGTGTTTGATTGTGAGTGAAGTAGGCCCTCAAACTTTCACCTTTATGTTTATATTGCTGCATGGCAACATACCTTATCACTTTCCAACTTAGATGTGTTTCTACGCCTATATTGGAAACAGTTCTGGTTTCTTTTATGGTGAATGTGCTTGAATTGGCTAGAATTTCCCCCAAGACACTTTAGGTTAGTCCTTGTCGAATAACAGATTTAATTACACGGTAGTTTCAAAGTGATTGAAGGGGCATTGTATGTTTTTACAATTTATACCGCGCATGGATACGAAATTCACCGCTCGTTTTGCCGAACCCGCTGTGTTCCAATCCCGTGTGTGCCCCTCTTCCATGGCCGACGCTTTGTGCACGGAAGGTCTGGCTTTCCGTCTGACTTTCTGTCATACTTTTGCCAGCTCAGAGGCTTCAGGCCTGGGCCTGCGGACCATTCTTTGGAACCTAGGACCCATGATGTCCGGGTAAGTTGGATTTTATAATGTTAAAGGTATTCTTGTGCCGGTAATTTATGATTTGTGAGCTCAATTATTTGTAACTTTCAGCCGTGTACTAAAGGCCAGCGTGTCTTGCTTGATCACGTGGTCTACTCATTTGGATAACCCACTGTGATAGTGAAATCGCTCGCTGCTGTATCTTACATAGTACGTTCGCTGTGATACTTGCGCGATGTTTACATGCACATTTCGCACAATGTTGTTAATAAAATGGATTGAAATGGTCACATGGATTGTGATTAATTGGTTTTCTCTTGAATTTGCTATTATGTAATTAAGTAGGATTGGTATTTTGTATCACGTTACAGGGTTTTCTCTTGACTGATCAACTAGCTCTGATAAATTACATGTGATCTGATAAATTACATGTGATCAAAGCCGATTCGTCCAACCCATCCCTTATCGGGAGTTCATTCGCCACCTGGCGGAGACTCAGGCTCCGCCCCTAGCCGGTGTGCAATCGCTGCCGCTACATTAATATGTAAAAACGAATTAAACCATAGTATTTTGCAAATTAAAACTATTTTTACACGGCGTCACGGGTTTGCAGCCGCCGCGCCGCCGCGAAAGTGTAGTAATATCAAAGTTATAACAACACCGTGGAAACACCAAAAGACAACGCACACAAAAACACCATGTTTTGAAATATTTTCATACAACATCATAACGAGGTTCTTTGTAAATCACACTGTCATGTCTCGCGACAATAGCTGAGCGTCCTAGCCAAAATAAAAATCGTTGCAGTATATGAGCAGTCTTGAAACAGACGCTCCTATGCAACTTTCGCTACCTCGACACTTCTTTCTCTTTTCCAGGCTTGATTTTAGATTTCATTTAGCATTTAAATTTAATAAAATTATAGTATTGGATTAAATAAATTTCAAAGATTCCAAATTATCATCGATGTTTAAGTATCATAATGGTACAGAAACTGACAAAATGCATTCAACATTAATGCCAACTAAACTGTGTGTCATTCTTTCTCAACTAATCTAACCCCTTATTACGACTCTCTCATTCACGTGCGTGACTGTCTTAACCTCTTGTCAAGCATTCCCATCTGATGAAAAGCATCTTGCACTAAGCTCAGTGAACATGCAAAAGTAAAAAAAAACACAATCACAGAAAAAACAACTAGCCTAAGAAAAACGCGACATGAAATGTGACTAAGCCTGCCCATGTGAAGATGTTAATGAGTTTAAACTGTTCTTGGCTTTAGATATCTTTGGTCCCAAACCCCAGCTGGGCAAATGAATCATTCCTCTATTCTTCAGGGCAGGTCTCCTTCGTGCACGTTCCTTCCTCATCGACGCCATCTTTGTTCTCTTTCGCCTCTTCGGTCTCTCGGCACTTTTTGGCTTCCTCTGAAATCCATGGAAAAAAACCAAAGGTTATTTGAGGAACGGTTCATTTGTAATCCGGATAGTAAGGTCACACTGGCAACAAAGTATGATCGAAGTGGAATGTCACTTCAAAGTTTGAGACAATGTCCAACCCAAAGGAGGTGAGCACTTAATGCTATGTCGGCTGTAGTATTAATGTGTGTCAATAGCACTCACCAGCAGTCTGAACGAGTTTTGGTATGAATTCGTTCCACATGAGGCACTCCTTGGCCTTGATGCCACGCCCATTCCCCATAGATGGTGACAGGTCTTTGTAGACGAGTTCCTCGAGGGTAAACAACGGCCATTCCGGCAGGTTTTCCTCCTTCCCTTGCTCGGCATTCAAAGAGGACAGATTAGGATTGCTAAAATCAGAATAAAAAGGCAAACTGAAACACTTCCTTTTATGCAAAAGTTCGACTGATTTAACAGCAATTTTTGAAAACTGTCCCATAAAGAGATAGAACAAGCTTTAACAAGTTGTTCTTAGTCGTTCGTAGCTCACCCGGTTTTAGCTAAATTGGCCCAGTATTTGATGGTCTGGATCGACATCCGGGCTTCATCTTCGGTAAACGACCAGTTTGCAGAAGGGACGAGAGGCAGACCAAAGACGAAAAGGAGATCGTCGCCGTGAGTCGCCTTGGTCCACTTATTGCCCAGAAAGGTTGTCGTTGCAATATGACTCATGTGATAGTGGTATACCTTGCGGCCCGCCTTGGTGAAGGCCTTGGCCGTTTTCACCCCAGAGCACACGAACATGGCGTCGCCGATAGCCTGCGACAGGCTCTGGAGGTAGTTGCAGTCCGGCGTGCCAGCGCAAGAAGGGTCAGCGTACATCATTTTGACCGTGTCTGCAACAACTGACTCTGGGGTCACCATCCAACTCAGGTGAAATTTGGCATAGGCATCGTAGGTGTCACTATCAACAAACGGCGCCTCTTCGGTGTTGTTGGGGAAGGCAGGTCCTACCATGAGCATCCCTTCATCAGCGAGAGCCCCAATGATGGAAACTGCGTCGTTGATGGCGCCCTGCTCATAGAGGTCATTGGGGTCAGCAGGAATGACCTCGCCATCAATAACAGGTGCAAAGGGCATCAAACTCTTTTGACCAAATTCCTGAAGTAACTGCCAAAACAAGATTTAATATATATCTTTAAGCAGTGCGCATGAAATGTATTACATTCTCTCAAAAATCATATGTTAACGACGCAACACAAACCTTCTCGTACTGGTTTTCTATGATCTTGTCGAATCCCTCCACCTGCTGCAAACATTCCAGCAACTCTTCCGACGTCTGTCGTTCACATCCGACGAGCTTCCCCAGAGCAAAAGCATGGCGACGCGCCGTATCTCCCGGAAGAGTTGCCCAAGGAGCAGATGCATCACCACTCTAGGTATACCAGGCATATAATGAGAGAGAGACATTAGGTGTGTCTAAAGTCTGCCCATTTCACAATTCCTGAATGAAGCCTTGAGTCATGATTTACGCCGGAAATAAGAGGTCCAAAGGTGTGACATTTTTGTGTCACTGTTACATCTGACCTTTGTTATTTGACATGGAAATATCACCGGCATTGTTTTCAAACTTACTTTTTGTTTGGCAGGTAATTTGCATTGATTCACCACTCCTGGAAATTATGAAATGTGTTCCGAACTTACAAAATCATATGTCAGATGTCACAGGAACACGAAAAAATGGACCCCGGGGAATACCCTCATTCAATACAGGATTTTTTAACAGGTTAGGTTGTTAAATTGAATGACAGGTGGGTGGTAGAAGGCAACCCAATAACCCCCCATGACCCGATAATGTCTGCATACCCAGTGATAAAAGTATATTTCGCACGGTTAAAAAAACAGAACACGGTGATTTTCCAAGTAACTGTTTACATTAAAGGGGAGTAAACCGCGTGAAATGGCGAAGATTCGAAACTCGAGCGATTTTCGAAGATGGCTAGCTAAGACTTCGCGCTTTGGTCAGTCAGCGGTACTCGTTATGTGTAACGCCATGGAATGACTGGTCTTTTCAAGCGTTTCCTTGTCACGCGTTCGATTCTGGAAAGTCGAGCGGTATTGTTCCCTATCGCAGAATATCACACTACAAACTATTTTCTGTCACTGCACAAGGTTACCGCTCATTCTGCAAATGAGCCATGATTTGAATAATAGTCTCGTTCCCTGTTCATTCCCTGGAACAAAATGTTTTCACCTCCAAGATGGCGCCTTGGTAGAGTCCTCCACTTCCCGGTGACACCATATGCAGACCTATGCTTCCTGCCCCGGCACTCTCACCAAAGATGGCCACTCGTGTAGGATCTCCTCCAAAAGCTGCCACCCGGGGAGAGAATGTTTGAATGTTAGTCGAACTCTAACAGCAAACATTGTAAAAGTAACAAAATCACTCTTCTGCTAAAACAATAAGGCGAACAACTGCATGACTGTCCCCTCGTAGTGTGTCTACTGCCATCGAGCGGGCATGCATCACAAGGGTCATTTAGCCTAAGCTTGGTTTTGAGACATTTGCTATGTGATAAAGGACGCTGTGTGATACCTGAAGAGGGCGCTATGTCTCCTTTCCACGATGTCCGTTATTTGGGGCCACAGACACGCACACGTGTGAGGAGGGAGTGGAATATGAATATGGCTGATAAACGAGTGTCTTCATGGAGGCACCTGACACATTTTTTTCAACCACTGCAAGGGTAATCCGCCTCGAGGTAGACTTGAATCAAGTCGGACTTACGTTGCTCTCCCTTAGTCAGCCATCCCTTCAGCCGGTACGAGTCTACACGGTCGTCGCGCTCGGCCCGGCAGCTCGCATAACCCTTCTAAGGAGCCCTCATTATAGCCTTTATTGTACAACGTACATACGTCACCTGTCTGTAAGTCCGACTCTGCGGATAAGCCAATCGGACCCCGTTGGTGATGTGTAGTTATTCATAATTGCATATGAATAACATGATCTTGTATAATGCATACGGAATTTCCACTAATCAAAGTAGTCAGACTTATGGACTCGTTCATTATAATGCAGGTATGGACGACGTAAAAACAAGTCAGGCAAAGTGATTGGCTGCTACCACGATTGGTAGATGAACACAAACGGTTGGCAGATTCGTCAAGTCAGGATTTCTGAGCTGAACTCATGGTAATAAGTGGTCGTTAGAGGGCGCGAAGCAAGTAACGGCGCGCAGTCTCGTTCGATGAGTAGCCAAAGCAGAAGGGGAAACGTCACAGAGATCTTGACTTGAATCCAGTCAAGCCTCGAGTAGATAATAGGCACTGGGCAGTTTGCTGCTACTATGTCATACCTTTGATGTTGTCTCTCACCCATTCCAATGCCAGACGCTGGTCCAAAAGACCCATGTTACCCGGAATGACGTCATCATCTGAAACAAATAAACTTCACTGCATTTCATTTCTTTGCATTTTCCCGATCCAACACCCCTAGCGTAATTTGTCAATAAACAACACTTTCTCAGCAAAATGCCGACATTGAGAACAAGGAAATAATATATCATCGTACTGGTGACATGGGTGACTAATTTATGAGCACTTCATTGGGTCCATATCCATTGCAGTGGGCATTTTTTCTTGAAACCGAAACAAACTTTACCACTGAAAATTGGGGCTTGAAATTAAATGACCCATCAAAGTTTATTTTGTTTTCCAAAAAGACCGTAAAAAATGGAGATATGAACATAAAATACAAGTCCTTCCTTTACCAACTTCAGTTTGAATGGCTGTTCAATCATCTAACCGTGACTTCTTTTTGTGCCCACCACCCCACATAACATGCTAAAGCTGTAACGCAATTCAGGTGCCGGTTATAATATATTACCAGCACACTGACTGCTATGGCAATTTGATTTGAAATATTCCCGTATTATGAGAGGTGGGTTATGTGAATGGGTATGCATTGATGATGTGATCAATGCACATTTCAATTCACTCTATGTGCTTTTATTGCAGCCAGCTGACATATTTAAGGCAAGATATTGGATGGAGAGACGCCCTTTGTGTTGTTCATTGTTATACCGGAATCTCAGGAGTTCTTCCCATACATCTAGGGGGATGTGTTAGGTAACACTTGTCTACAGTGCCTATATAGGTTTGGACATGTAGGGGGTACCCCTCCGTCCCATATCTTGCTGGGTAAACCACAAGAGCACACCTTTAACATGGTAAAGTGTTGCTGACTTACGGTTTATATGACCTTTGCGGGGATTATAAATTCTCAGGTTTATAGGTCTGGCTCTTTTCGCTCCAAATTTGGAGAACTTACTTGTCGAAAGAAATCCAAACGAGCCAAGGCGATAGTTGAGTGCCACAACAATGACGTCACCAACGGCAGCTACGGGGGTCGGGTACATATCTTCCGTAATACCAGCTCCTATGATGTAGCCACCGCCATGAATGAAGACAAGAACGGCTGCGTCAGGAGGCTAGAAGGAAACACCACAGGAATATGCTTCGAATTGACAGTGCTTTAGGCGTACTTCCCTCCATCTACTTCTCAGTGCATCAAGTCTTCGATTGGAATTTAACTCTAAAAAAGCTGGGGACGGGATTTATCACATTTGCCCCTGGATCATTGCATTGTATATTTTCAGACGCCGAACCAGTCTTCCTGGAATGTCTTGCAGGCATTTTGATACCAGCTTTGTGAATACTGGACATACGTTTCTCGCGCAAAATCCGTTTTGCCAATTTAGATAAGTGTCCACGCTCAAGGTATACTGGCTGACACACGGGGCCATGGAATTAAAAATACCGTAACAGCAAAAACATAGACTGGATTGATTTACACTTCACAATTGTATTGATAATGACCGTTTTTACATGCCTGTAATGTTTCAAACAGATCGGGTTTGGGACAGCGGAGTTCATTGGGGCGGGATCCGCTTCCATCTTTCATATGATATGGTTTCAGCATTGCCTTTTCATCGACTGATACTGTGTGTCGCATGTATACAGAGAATCATATAGGGGCTGATAACTCTGTGCATGGAACGTCGGAATCTTACCAGAGGTTGAGGCACAAATACATCAACACAGAGACAATCTTCGCCGAATGGCCCAGTCATTGTGTAGTTTCCCAGAGGTACGATTGGTTGAGGGCAGCGGTTGCCCAGCTTGGTAGCCTGAAGCTCCCCGCTCCACGACTTAGCGACGGGAGGTTTGAAGCGCAGCGGGCCGATGGGAGCCTCAGCGTACGGTATGCCGAGGTAGGCGTCCACGCTCCGGCGAAGCGCAGGGTCAATGGGGCTAAACTCGAACCTCGTGCCGACGATGCGACCCTGGCTCGTGGTAACCACTGGAGGGTCCTCACCGTCCGCTAACACGACAGGGAAAACCAGACACAAAACACAGACAAACTTTAGGTATTCCATTTTACTGCCAGCGTAATTGGCTGCTACTTTAATCTGGCTTGTCACAGTGCTACAGCTTACATGCTGAGTGCGTGCACATCGAATAGGTTGTGCAAATAAAACCAGATTATTGAGCTGTCACGTCGTGCCAAGGCGCTGGCCGGCTTGGATTGCGTAACAGCCGTGTATCGGCCAAGGTCCAACTCCAACAAGTACTGAGCAGTGGACACACACGGCTCTAGAACTATCTGAAATGCTAAGACTATAAAAGTTCTGTATTTTGGAAAAGTACCAAACTTTCTTCAGTTTACGTCCGATTTCAGAGAAGAGGTCTTGATTCTCTCTATTCTCGATTCGACAGATAATGTATGAGGCAAACGGGGACAGAAATATCCTGCTCCCCTAGAAACTGACAAAAGAACAAGAAAACATCAGTTTTAGGAACATGCACCTAACAAAATAAAAGCCCTGTATTATGAGCGCATCGTCCGTTACTCATTGAAGTCAGTCTTGGAGCGGCGCATGTATACGACTTTCGCCACATCTTCACGTGACTGTCCGGATTGAGCTGTTGTCCAGAATGCTGCGTACGAAGTCGAGTCATTCTTGAATTTTTTTTTAAATTGAAAATTAACATTGTCACTGGCTCAACCAGCGTTTAAAACACAATACAGTTTTATCAGCATAAAGCATGATGGATGGCAGTGCCACAGTTTAGATTAACTGAACTACACGCACAAAATGAATAAGCGAATTTATGGGTCAAAAGGTAGAGAGATACAAATTTGTCGCCGTTTCATGGCAGACAGTGAACGTTAGATAGGAATCGAATAGAGGCCTTGATAAAATGTTGGCAGTGTTGACTCAGCGAATATGTGTTATCACGGGGGAACAATATAAAGTTCTTGTTTAAACAACTTTGTCATTTTGTGGGGTTTATTTTGAGGGATTTCACCCTCGTGTTGTGTTAACAATTAAAGTCACGTTGGACATGAACTTTGAATAATGAGAAGTTAGTGGTGGTTAAAAAAATCATCTTTGCGAGGAAACAAGCCCGAAACACGAAGAAGTGGGATAGAAACTGTTGCCTTCTTTCGCAAATATTTCTATAATACATGTAGCAAATATGGACATGGAAGTTACATCAACAAATAAAGGAGCTTGTGCCGTTTCTGATGACACCACGATTGAAAGATTTGGACAATTTTTAGACCTTTTAGGGGCGAATATGGAACCATCTTTGCGCAGAAAGAGGCTGGTAAAGTGTGAACAAAAGACAGAATCGCACCGAGATACGAAGCAGTGGGACAAGAGCTTTTGCCTTCTTTTTTGCTGGTATTTCCCCAACTACGGTAACTTGAAACGTACGTCATTGGTGTGGGGAACCTGTGTCCTTTCAGGTGACACCACGGTTGAAAGATAGCGAAGAAAGTGGTCGTGAAGCGTATGCCCAAACTGAGTTTGTGATATTATGTGGTATATTGAGGGTTATTAATCTGCCTCGAGCAGAAACACCCCCTTATCGGTTGAATAGAGCCGCTTTAGTCGGGTGTGTTCAATTTGTTGGTTGTGATGCGACCGTGACGCATGCATTTCACAGTCGTGCGTGAACCAGCGAAGTTCATTTCCCATCAAAGGAGCCTCCGTTGCTTAGAAAATAGCGCCCTCTTTTGGTCAAGACCGAGGCCCATAACAACACATCAGTAGATTCAAACACTGCTTTGATGTGTAGTTTACAAATCTACAAATTTTCCTCTTTCCAAACATTTCAAAGTCATGAAAAGCCTTGACGTGGCCGATGTATCCCAAGCCAAAATATTTAAGTTTGTAAAACTTCCAATTTATTTCTCAGTGTGAATGAGACCTGAGCGCGACCAAGATAGGGCACAATTTTCCTAGCAACTGAGGCTCGTGTTTGTTCAAATGTTTTGTAACAAGAAGAAAATGCGTAGTAACATTTGTATTATGTTGGTATGTATGTCAAGTTGCTGAGCAGTTTATAGTTAATAATTCTGAGGTGATGTACATATGAAATTTCTGATTCAAAATTATTTAAAAGTTTCGATTTAACAAACCGCAGATAAATCTACCCTCGCACGTATTAAATATTCATCAGCAGGGCGATCTCTGGCAGCACCAAAGAAAAGTAGAATTCAACTAATACAGAAATTAAAAGACAAAAATACGAGAATCCGAATGAAGGTCCAAAATCTGTCTGTGGGTCGTATATGCATGTTATTATTTTCTTCAGAGTTTACATGTAGTCACTTTATTATGGCCTTGTAAAGCGTCTATCACTGGTGCGTGCACGTAACTCCTTGTGTGTTGGGTCGCGCAGGCTGAATTAGGTCCCGGGCAAGTTTTAGCCCGTAAGTAACGGGTTTGGAAATGTTCAGCATTGCCTTGGCTTAGGTTAGCAGAGATTCATAACTGACGATGACAGTTATTTCGGGATGAAGCATCTTATCAGACTTATCTCATAGAGTGTTTCTGCATGTCTACAGGGCGCATCAATACATGAGCTGCTGTTTTGCTACGTATACTGCGTACGATGACATGTCCTTCCCTTTCGAACACAGGACAGCTGCCGGTTGGGCTTCATGCGTATACGAAGTTTCACTTTCCTTCTTTGGAATCCTGTCCAGCCAAGTGCCGCACAGCTCAGAGGGTTCCTGCTATGTGTTGCAGTGATGGTGAGTGTTGCTTCGCTTTTTCATGCCCTTATCCATGTTGTTTTTGTTCAGTTTCGCACGATGTTGTTCCTGCCCATTGAGGGCGTTGATGGATTTTATCCAGCGCGTCCAATTCCATGCGCTTCAGTACAGGTGACCTTTGCCATGTACGCCCAGCGCTTTGAATGTTTTGGTATTAACGTTACCGCGTAAAATAGTTCCAACCATAGTAGCCTCTACTCCAGTTTCAATATGTATTTGTTATAACTTATCACTGTATCCTATGTAATTCAACTGGATTTTTGGCCGCCATTGTTCATTATGTTTCCACCCGTATCTCCACTTATGAGCAACCCAGGAGAGTGAAATAAAGGGTTGCATCCATGTTTGTGATACGTTAAAGTAGTGCCTTACATACATCTAATATACTTCCAATCGCCATTTTGAAATTCAAAATGGCGGCCTAAGACGTTTTCCTGTGACATTTCACTTTTTTGAAGTCAGCACCCTTAAATTTACAAAGTTAGTAAATAAAATCCATTTTGGCACAAAAATCCAGCTGGATCAAAATTAGGCATAATACACTGTCCTAAGTGGGGACTCTTGTAAATGCTGCAATTATATCACGCATTACCCAACAGTATCAGTGGCGTAGCTAGGATTTTACTAGTGGGGGACGTGCCCCCAGGCCCCCCCGTGGCTACGCCACTGGATAGTATCAGAGATTGCCTAGTGAAGGACTTTCATTATTAGCCAGTTGACCATCACTGATCAAAGTAGAATGCCTTGCAAGCAGCTACTGCATGAAATATTGTTAAAGTATGACCATTTATTTATTCAGAGGGCCATCCAAAAGTTAATAAAAAATAAAACAATAGTACCGCGCGTTAGTTTTACCGGTGTCTGATTTAAAATATTGCAGTTATTTCAATTCCTTCATGGCATACAATGGTAGTCTTTTCAGGAATTATCTTAAGAAATGGAATAACTGAAGTATGAAATTAGTAACCAACATTGCAAGTGTCTGCTTGACCGACAATAGATCTGTATAACATGCAACTCAAGAACCACAAAAAGACATGGCGTGAATTCCGGTAACTCTGATGTGATCCTATACGCTCTTGGTACAACTATATACTATGCCCTGAAGGCACTAACTATGTGACCCCATGCATGAACCTGATATGCCATATTTTCAAACTTTTTTAGTTAGATGCATGAATGTATAGAATAATATCATACCTTTATTTGCTAAAAATCTCAACAGCCAGGGTGGCCCATTTTTTGAAATATAGAGGAAGGTATTATTCTGACCAAACAGAAAAATTCCAAGGAGCAAAAATTGTAACTAGATTTTTCTCAGTTTCATGTCTGTGTGGTATATCAAGTCCATGCATGGGGCCACAGAATTATAAGTTGTACGTCAAAAAGTAACCAAGTTCCATAGTCATCGCTCCAAAATAAGCACAGATTAGTTTGATTCTGTTAAATTGCCTTGTGGTAACTCACATTACGTGGCCTCTGTTAACCCTAAAAAGCCGGGGAATCGGACCAGCTCTCCCCCTCTCCCAGGAACCTGATTTCCCCATGCCTGATTTTTGTTGAAGCACTCCTTATCCGTACAAAAATGTACAAATTATGTTTAAACTCAATCCAACATGTGAATTTGTTGTTACCGTCATTTGACGTTCAAGATCACACACTTGTCAGCATTGAGTACGTTAGTGTCCTTTTTTTGGTTTATATTTCCTAGAAAACATTTTGTTTAATTAAATGCCTGTACTTTTGAATGTATCACGCATCGTGGATTTGTCCTAAGTAAAGCCTTCTAAAAACTATTTTATTTACTCTTTCATGTTTTTCAGGCAATGTGTATAAAGACTTGTGCTTAGTAGTTATTTGGGATATAAAGAACACACTACATATGAGTGCAACCATTTTCCTTGTGAAGACCCTTTTCAGTAACATGCGTGACACTTAATAAGTTTGATATCGGTTTTCTTAATTGAAAGGCAGTGGATTATTTTACAGGTCGATGTTTGAGAGCTTTAAGAATAAAAGACGTTGCATGAAAGGCGCCATCTTCTGAGTACTGCAATTGACCACCTACGGAACTGTTGACATATTCGATGCGGATCTGACGTCATTTCCGTTTTCCTTCCACGCTGTTGTCCATGCCGTACGCGCAGTACACGACGACACCTAAACAGGAGGGAAAAGTTTGTCAAATTTTCAAGTTGTGTCGAAAAGAAAGAGTGGAATCATTGGTGATATCTCCCCAACAAAATTGGAACTCCGCGTCTGGCAGTGGATCAGCAAAAGGTTGTTCCATTTTTGGATGGGTGACTAAACGCTGTTCGCCTGAAGTTAAATTCCCCACACTTTATAAACACCTGGGTCAGACTGACCCGGAATCTGGGTCCCATGGGGCCTGACCCTTTTCCAAGTCAAATTATGACTTGTTTGGGGTCATATTTGACCCAGAAAGGGTCAAATATGATCCTTTGATATGTCTGACCCAGGTGTTTTATAGTGCAGTGCTCAGTGTTATTTGTTTAATCGAATTTGACGTCTGCCCTTCAGACTACCAAAAGAGGGCAATCTTTCCTACAGATAATATCCTTTCTACAGATAAAATCCTTGTTTAGGGTATGGTGCCTCAGGGTTTACTGTCTTTCTCGACAGCTTTCCAATTCGTTATTCTGACCCCCAAGTCAGTGTCTTGAATGTCTTGTTACTGGCTACTATGGCTAAACTGTTGGAGTGTTAGTACAATTACGTCACACGTGCCACCTGTGTCCTTAAAGCCTTGGTTGGCTGGGTGTCGAGTCAGATAACTGGGTAAAATTTCTTTACCTGCTAACATCCACACAATGAGTTCTACCCAGGCCATAAACTGGATTTGCACGGCGAGTATGACGTTACACAACAAGCTCACCAACGGTAGGTAGGGCATCAAGGGTACCTGTGAATGATACACACATACGACATGAATGCGTAAAACCACACCATCTTAGTAACCCTTAAAAACATTTTGGGGGAGCCATCTCACTGTCGGGGAGGATGCAGTCTTCCCCTCTCCTCTCCCCAAACTCTAGGGTATCGATTGTCCCTTTGCTAGTCCTTTTGAAAGTTTGAAATCAATTAACGGGTTTGAAGATATGCGGTTCACGTCAGCGAGCCGCGTGCCTCAAATACAGTGTTAATAATAATGTCAGCCATCTTTTTCGAAAAATGGTATCTTCACCCCCTCCAAAAAATGGTTTTGATATGATAGCGAGACATTATTGGAAGATGTCCAAAATGCTCAAGACGGGAAAATGCATTGTGACGAGGAATTTCGAGGGAGTGGATTCCACTTGGCTTTTTTAGGCTAAAGAAATATTGTCTGAAGGAGAAAGAGTTGTGGCAGTCTGCCAGACAAGGGAGGTCCGGGAAAAGACTGTCACCAACAAAGAAAATTACCTTGAAAGGGATTCCTTCGCCATACTTGGGCAGCACTAACAGGGGGAAGCAGGAAAAGATCGTGACCACACCGCAGAACGCCACCGCGGCCACCGTGAAGGTATCTAATCTCAACAGATCGTCCATCTGGTAGGTTACCAGCGAGACGGTGATAGCCTCGAAAGCCAGGTGCACGGCAATGGACGTAAGGACCGACGTGGTTGGGTTTTCGCTGATCCACTGCCTTGGCGCCGAGAAAAACTTTGCAGAACTGCCCCGACCGGGGGGATCAGTGGACAGCATGGGTGCTTTGTCTGAGTGTGTGTCTGATGTTGATGGGTAGTTTTCCGGATCTTGTTGGTCTTGATCGTTGTTTCTGGGCATTGATACCATGTCCGTCAATTCCTCTCCGGCGTGGCTCTCGTTTGCGTCTGCGCCGACAAGCGGTGTGTACTGGCTTCGCATTGGCGAAGGCTGGTAACGGAGGCTTATGACGGCCACAGCGACAATGATGTAATCGGCTAGCGCTGCCAAGGATATGAACTCGATAATATACAGGAAGTCGACGAAGACGCTGATAAGAATGGAGAGGACCCCGCCAAAGACGGTAGCAATGATGGGCGTCTGGGTGACCTCGTTGGTCCGTCCCAAGAGCGCAGGCAGGAGACCGTCCCTCGCCATGGCGAAGATGTTCCGCGAGAGACAGAATATGGTGTTCAGGACTCCACCTGTCATGCTGCACAGCCCTCCCAAGCCTACCACATACCCCATCCAGTACAAACCGATGTTGTCAAAGGCCGTGACGAAAGGGGACAGGGGATTGATGTCGTGATAATCGGTCAGGACGCTAATGGCTACCACGCCGGCGAGGTAGTTGATGATGGAGACGACGTAGGCGGAGATGATACCGATTGGGAGACCCCGGCTGGGATTCTTAGCCTCCTCTGCACTGAAAAGGATGGATTCGAAGCCACCGTAGCCGGACCCCAGGCAGACTGCCGCGCCGGCCACCACACCGCCGAAGCCCTTGGGGAAGAAACCGTGCACGGTCAGATAGGAGAACTCGGCGTGGACCATGGAGACCACGAACACCATGGCGACAGTCACCACGTTGACGACCACGAAGAAACCGTTGGTCTTCGACGACAAGTCGGTGCCCACGGCAATGGGTATCGTTCCCAGCAAGGTGACAGCCCCACCGATGAGGTCTGGATAGTCGACCAACACCGCCGATTCCCACTTCTCCCCGTGCATGAGTTGCTCAATGGTGAAATTTCGGATTCGGTTGCCCAAAAGATTGTCGAAGTAAGCGCTCCATCCTCGGGCCGCGTAGGCAACAACGAAGGTACGCATAATAATGACATTCCAGCCCACCAAAAAAGCCGCCAGCTCTCCCAGCCCGACGTAGGTGAACAAATACGACGCTCCCGTCCGAGGAACTCTGGTCGCACACTCGGTATACAACAAAGCTGTCAGCAAAGACACCACGCCGGCGATGGCGAAGGACAGAGTAGCAGCCGGCCCGGCTAACACGCCTACTTCCCCTGTCAGGATGTAGACACCAGATCCCAACATGCCCCCGATGCCCATCAGGGCCAGATCGGTAGACGTCAGACAACGCTTCAGGGTGGTCGTGTTTGAGTCTGTGTCGGTAACTTTTTTACGGGTGACCGACCGGCGAAACCGCTGGTAGAAGCCACCCTCAGCCATGCCTTGATGAACGATTTCTCGACGTGCGGTACGATTTTCTAGCTCGCTTGTTTTTCCTTCTGGTCAACAGCTTTGGACACTGAAGCAGGCCTCCCTCTTCCCGCTCTCCGGGCCAAGTTCCGAAGCTGAACACGATCACTCCGGATCAAACTGAACGGATACCCCAGAAAGACTGACTTAGCTCTCAAACGTGGGCATGGGATCCTGGCTCATCTGTCGTCCGACACAAGCTGTGTACGCAGTGAGCACTGAGTGCATTAGCACTCACGCGAAACCGCTTGAGCAATTGCTTGATTGCGGTGGTGCTCTGACACCGCTTCACTTCAGTAGAAATTTTATTACTCAATTAGTTAAAACCTACATGTTGCTAGTGAAAAACTGCGGGCCTTTTAAGTGCTCTATCATCTGTGTGCGGTTTGATTAGTCCATTTGGGGAGGAATGACTAGTGTAAACTAATACCACATAAGTATTGCTAGGCAATTTTCATTTCCGTACGACATGGATGTCCGAATGGGCAGCACGTCACAGGACAAACGTTGTTCATAAATACGGGAAGATTTTGCATCTTTACATCTGATGGCTGTTTACAAACAGGCTCCATTGTCTTGGAATAAGGTCGAGACCCCTAAAATTTATGTATCTATTGTAAATTCTGCATGGAATAAAGATGGTCTCCGACTGAATGTAGATGCAGTAGCATCGCCCTGCCGCCGATTAAGAGCCACTTATAAAGTGGTTTTTCTGGTGATAACACAACTATAATCAACAATACTTGTATTGCCTGATGTGTAAAAATGGTTTCAGAATCGTCTACGTCACAATTGAAGGGGCTATTGATTTCCATCGTCCATTGACAGAATAACGAGGAGCTGCCGCGTGTTCTTTGCCAAGAGCAAAGCTTTGTTGTGTCTGCTTACAAAGTGTTTTTTTTTTCTGGTGAGTTTTGCTTTCAGTCGATTCTTTCACCGAGACTGGCGAAGTTCAAAATTTCCCTGCCAACCCATGTTTTCAACACAAAAGGGCAGACTGCAGTGCTAGCTTTATTGACAGCATCGGCTGCGGAAAATCTTTCAGCGGAGACGTACCGGCACTTGAATTGACATGGTATGCTAATAAAGTATTTTGAATCATATGCCATGGTACCAGCAACCTTACATTTCCTTTTAGCATCAAAAAGATTAAAGCACCACAGCGTAATGTGGCACTAAGTGGTCTTTTTTATTAGCGTCACTCAATCCCACCGATAAAGAGAGAAAAGGCCTTTAGAAGATAAATTCGTGTTGTGTGTGAGCAGTACCGCACTTTCTCCATCGAGAATTGCTTACTTAGCGTCAAGTAAACAATCACAAGATACTCTTTAGGAAATGGAACAACGCACATACCACTCTATTGTCGGTCAACGATATGATAATCTACAGGAGGAAGCTCATTTGTCACGCGGTCTGATTGCCTGAGTTAGTTGTTGGCTTGTTTTATTCAAGTAGTTTTGTAATTTTGTAATGAAAAGACAGAATTTTTCCAACCGTTAGAATTAAAAACCGATCTTTTCGTTTTGTCACTTGGTCCCGTATATTTCTAGTTGTTTTTGCACATTGCGTAATGCGCAAGGCCGAGACGTAATTAATTCCTGGGGGTGCTTTGAACGGATAGCGCAAACGCAGAAAGAACAGAAGTGCCCTAAGAAAAAACTCTCAATTCAAAGGCTAGAATTCATATCTAAGTCGGGAGTTTATCATGTGCGTACAAGTGTTTATCACCGAGAATGGCGTATCAACATCTGAAGTTGGGAGGGGAGGGCAAATGGACGATTTTCAATATCTGACTGTCCAATGGGAGACTTTGAGACGCATGGTGGTGGCAGACAAACCGGTCCTTTTCTCCGGTTATATGCGCGTGCTCAGAACTAACACGCATGCCTAGAACTGCCTACTTCAGCCACAAGGACCGTTGTGTCTGCCGCCACCAGGCTGCTTTAAAGTCTCCCATTTTTTCATCCGCAAAAGAAACTTCAACTCCATCCTCCTCAAAGAAATGTACTCGTATAACGTTTCTAAGCTGTCGACGCTTTCAATTCCTCCTCCCCAAATTGAAATTGATTATTGGTTCTTTAAAATTTCAGTCCAAAAATTGAAACACTTGGAAATAAATAATTAAACTGTCCATCACAACCCCCCCCCAAAAAAAAGAAGATGAAAATGTTGGGGTTTTTTTTGGTATGGAAATTTCAGTCAAACGTGGCAGCAAGTCAGGGGGTACACTTTCTCCTCACAGCGAACAAGCCACTGATCCTCAATGCAGTTTCCTGCATTCTCTCAGACAACTGCTGTCAATCGGCCCTGTAGGAAATATTTTCAATATTCTACGTGATCTAGGAATTTATACCCATGCATGTGCTTGTCAAATGATCCATGTTCATTTGCCCAACTGCTTGATGGTTATTCTCAAAATCTAGCTCCACTGAGCAAGAGATCGAGATCGCGTGTACAGCAAGGAATCAGATTGTTGAAGGCGCCCTCTATTTTCTTCAGAAGTTGCGATCGTTTTGTATAGTGCGCCCTCTTTTTTGTGAACAATCGAGTACATGAACTCTCTTATCTTACACTTAGCGGAAAAGGCCAACATTTTACACGCGGTGAACCATGGACCAAGTCATGCACAGCTTTGTGTCGCTTTCTCCTTGCTCGGTCTAAATTTTACACCCCGAAACACTGAAACGTTTGTTGTGACTTGAGCAGAAGACCCCGGCAATAGCCTGAATGTCTCATATGCTTGTCAAACGGTGAGTTCCAGGTCACTGTCAGAAAACTTGTGAGTTCAGATGTCGCTGATCAGTATTGGATTGAGAGAGTTGGGGTTGTGCTGACAAAAACGAACTGTCAGCAGATTACTGAGACCAATCGCCGTCTTTGCCTTTCCCGGGAGAAAAACTCAAAACGCTCGACAAATTGCGGTTCATTGCTCAAAGCCTTCGCCTGTCACTGACTTCAAACTCCATTTTGAAACTGTGAGAGGAATTGAAACAAAGAAAAGCAAGCAATCTGGATCTCGCACTGCAAGAAAGTCGTTGGGCAAACTAACTATCCGGTGGCATTTCTTGGTCAGTAGCAGTTTTCCGATCAGATATAGCGACTTCCCAAGTTTAGTTGAAGCTGTGAGTGCGGCCTTCGGGTTTATTTTGTTGGAGGTAAACTGGAGCACCGGCCTCTGGCATGATTTTCCGTTTGTGAAATTCTGAAAAGAAATCGAATCGACTGGTAATGCATATACAAAAACCTGTCTGGCGCTTACTGCGCACAAGTAACCGCCGGCCCCATTCCGAACCACTGGTTCGCAAGACAGCGAACGCAAAATATTTTGTACGCTCAGGGACCATGACTTTTGTGCACCTTCGAAAAAAAAAGGTATGTCAAATTATTGTGAGTTTACAAATGTAATGGTGGTTTTGCTCTTCACAGTATTTCCGCCGGCAAAACCACAATGTAGTAACACAGACTCCACAAAATGAGCACGAGTGACACCCATGCACCCGGACGTATTGTTTAAGTTTTCAGGGGCCAAAGTCAAGGTGGCCCAGAACCTCCAATCGGGATTTCATCCGTAGTTCCCAATCTCACTAATGTGCAAAGTTGTGTGACCAAAAGTGCAGCGCACACAAGCGCGCGTAGAAAAGACCGATCGGCCTTGACCACCAACCCGCAGTATAAAGCTGTGTTCAGCAGTCAAACACTTTTCGTTAACACTATCGTGCCATTACAGTTTTTAACAATGCTGAAATATGAAACATGTTTGGAATACTTGTACTGATGCATAGCGTTAAGCAATCGAAGAATGACGTTAGAAACTCAGTGGATTGAAAGTAATGTGAGTAACACAGTTTTAGCGAGTTGGGCAGAGAACCGCAGAATTTTGTTACACCAAGCCTTCTCAATTGAGCGTGACACTCAGTTCATTAAAAAACAGATTACACACAGTGAGAAACGAACTGTAATTTTGATAAGGTTCACGAACGGAGACTATTCAATCTAAAACCAACGGAGCGAAGAGATAGTCTCCTTTCGAGACACCGTAATTGTACATGGAAGTGGCGCACACAAAAAACTACACACAAAAGTACTGGCACGCGGGCAGCTGCAGTGGTCGCCGTAATCCGCGGTTGTGTAAAAAAAGGCTTCGCGGCCTGTCAGGAGCAAGAAAGGCAGTCTCGGCGACTGTCCAACGCACCAGTGAGCAATTGAGGTCCGAGCCAGCCCAGGTACAAAAACGCAAGAATGACATGACAGCTCGCTATTATCCTCGTAGCGCCGTGTGGAAACAGTTTCAGAATAGGGTCCGTTGTTCGTGGCAAGCATCCGCCGAGCCTCTCTCCTTGGCCACATTCTGGCTAGTGCGCTGCGGATGGTTTGTGGTGAATCTGTTGTAGTTGATGGCCAACTTCAGAGCTGTCAAGTTGACGGTGGGTGACCGCCCTCGCACACGATGATAGTTTGTTTATCGACGAGGGAAGTTCCCAACACTGATAGTCCTCAAACGTTCCCGGGTTGAACTGTGATTCACCTGTGTTGCGACTGCGGATGAGGAATACGACACGGTTTTGAAGTCCTCAGTACAGTAATTATAGACTCACGGCCTGCTGTGGAATCGTGATTTCTTTTTTTTTGCCGGATCACAAACCGTACTGAGCTCAGCGTTTATTGGTCAGACGTCAGGAATTTCGGGGTGGAATATGATGCGAAGTCGTTCGGGATTGGTCGATGTATGAAAACGAAGATTTGGAACGGCTTGCTGCATTTCTGAAGACAAAATAATGTGATGGGAATTCGTCCTAATTGTATAGCTTGGTTGTGATTTTGTTTAAGTACGCTGTGTGTGTGTGCGGCTCAGTCACACTTTGGTGTAGGCTGTCGTGGTGTACAGGCCCAGTTAGCACACTCACGGGATTAGAGTTGTTGGCTGATTGTTTTTCAACTCATGTATCACCAATGCTGAGCAAGCGGACGGCTTTGCCCCTGGTCGGCCCCGGCGATATCAGTTTTCAGCGGAGGAGGCAAACGCGAACTTCAAATCCCTGCCCGGCTGATTAGAGGTGACACTCAAGGGCCAGACGGCCTGTCGATCGCATCGGAATTTCTCCCCATCTCCGAATCTGAATTCTCGTGAACTGCCCCTGTTCTCGATACTCTGTGCTTTTAGAACCTCGAGCTTCTCGTGTGCACCGGCCCATCTGTTTTTCTACAACAACACGGATGCCCTTGGAATGGGTCACCGGTCGGGATTTCCAAATCGCGGCGGAGCTGTCCGGCCGAACTCGGGTGTGATGCTGGCGGGGGCGACGGTGCGGCTCTTGGTGATCCTCGTGGCCCACTCCTTGGTCTTGCTGCCGTGCTGGGCCGTGGGCACCCAGGCCGTCCGGACCCAGCCGGTGCCCGGGGAACCCCAGGCTCCCCCGGGGGTAGAGCCACCGGCCAACCTCCCAGACCAAGGCTTGGAATACATAGAAATGAACGGCTACCCGGAGGGGGGAGAAGGCGAAGACGGAGATTCGGCTAGCTACACCTCGATCGTGGTAAGTCTATACATCCCCTCTTATTCTCCTGTCAATTTAATCCCTACGCGTAATCCTTGCATATGAAAGGAGGTGTTGACTGAGGGTGATATCCCCAATGTGTTTAGAGCTTTATTTCTTGCTCGTGAACGGCCGACGGCAAGCCGCCAGGTAGGTATTGACATGCTCGGCGGGCCGCGGACATTCTATAAGCGCTTAAATCTATTTTTCAAACATTTCCTCAATGGCGTTGAAGGGTTTGCTCAGCGCGGCTCCAGTGCCGTGAATGGGGAAAGAAAGCTTGCCGGGTGTTTTCGCATCGCCGCGGCCACTCTGCCGGCCGTTCAGACACCATCGCTAGACTCCCGGCCCTTCCCACCCAGCGCACAATGGCGCTTTCGTTTACTCATCTCATTCGGTTGGTTTCCTCGAAGTGGGAGGCCCAGCAAATAAAAACCTCAGAAGTATTCGCGCTTAATCCATTTTCTCGCACATCGAAGAACGAGCGCCCTGTTTGTGTTTGTAAACCGCAGCTTCCAAAGTTCTCTCCCGAACGCACATGTCCTGACCAAATGCAAGTGGTGGTTGCTATGAAGCGAAAACATTGCCACAGAAACTAGGGCTGTCATGTCTGTCACGTGACACTTTGCTAGGTAACGTCGTTTGTTCGTCAAACTTTCTCTGCCCAGTGAAGTCGTGTTGTCACTGTCCGTAGTTCCGTTAAAACGTTTTGCAAGTCGATATTCTGTACAGTTTAAATCTGAGGAGGTCCTTCCCACGCGCGCAGTCGTCACTCGGAGACCCTCTGTATTTGCGCGTCCTGTCAAGGTCAGGGATAGTGCTCCGTTCCTGATGTGGATTCTCCAGCGGTAGCTATTTTTTTAATAGCACTTTCTCGGTAAACCATTCGTGCACTTTGTTGTTAGCTTCGATTTGTGCACAGTGTTCTGTTTCACCGTGCAGAGAAATGGGGGCGATTCTAATGAAAGTCTGTGGTCCAATTAATGCCGGTACCCTTTGCCCTATGATTCAGTGGGATCTGTGGCGTACTTTTTTTCATGGAATGAGCCGGGTTTATACCACTTTGGTTGCTCGACCACAGTTCATCGACCCGTAAATCCCCCAACGCACGCATGATTGGCGTCGAGAGCCCCCCCCCCTCTGTCCGTATGTCGTAAAATATCAGTGGGAATGAAATCTCTCGTGATCGCGCGAGAGTCATCACCACGGCACACGTCCAGCTTGATTCCGCCTCACGGGGCCAGGTTCCGGTTTGCTTCGAGACCAGAACCCCTTTTTTTGTGACTGTGTCTTCAGGGATGTAAACTATAACGCGCTTGTGCATGGTGCCTTGTGGGGGTACCGGAACAATGGAAGGTACCCCACAAGGCCAGTTTTGATCCTTGTGGGGTACTAAAGTGGTACCCCACGAGAATTTCACGAAATACATATTTCAAATTTACTCAAAAAGGAGGAATTTTCAAGCGTCATTCATCCGTCGCAAATTGAGGTGTTTTATATAAGGGACACACAGTCGAAATTTCAACCCAGGAAACTGAATTTGGTTGAAATAGCAGTGATTTGAAATTTTCTCCGTGTTGTGTGGGAGTTTTGTACACGAGAACAAAGGAAATACCCCACAAGTTTACATATGTAAGGGCCACCGTGTTTGGCAGGGCATGTTTGCGTTCATATTCAGAAGTGATTCGACTTGGATTTTTGACGTGCATTTCAAGACAGGGTTACACTATTTGGCAGAAAGATGGCCAATGTCCACGTTAGGTCATTGTCATTGTCGAAATGGTCATTTATTACGAATGGGCTAGAAGACTAAATGTCTGTGTCCTTTGTCTATGGTTTAACTGAGGTAATCTTTCTGCTGTGCTCATTTGTAATTGTCGAAGGGGCACCGAAAGCAAATTTACACATCAAAAACAACATTTGGAGTTTAATACATTTTCCGTACCCACTTTTTCCACACTTTTAACCCGTGACATATTCAGTACGGTAAAATGTGTTTAGGAATGTGTTTAAATGTAAAATCTTGTTCCATGGTATGTGTGTAGTTTTTTAAAATCCGCTTAGCATTTGAACACATTCGTAAGCGCATAATGATTGATAAACATGTCGCGGTTAAGCATGTTTAAAAAGTGGGTACAAAAAGTGTTTGGAAATGAGTTGAAACTCTAAGCACATATTTAGAGCGTAACCGTGGCTTGTACAAAGACTGTGTACTTTTCTAAATTTCAAATGGAGTTAGTGGGCCCCCCGACGGGCGTGGACTTTCCCCGGGAAGAGGGGGTATGTTGCCTTCGCCCCCCCCCGTAGTTACGCCACTGCTTCACCCCACTTCAACTGTCTGTCTGGACCATTTGTACGCCCTGTTTTTGACGAGCAAAGCAGAAAGAATTTATGTGATTTAGTCTGCCACACCAGTTTTTTTGCCCCACGAGCTACAACTAACCTTTGTGAACTGTGGGTGTTTGAACTGTGACTGAGTTTCCCGGGGATTTGTGTGACGAGAGTGCAGTGGGAACTCCCCGCGGGATAATTACGCAAGAGAGAGGCACACTTCGGAAGGACTCGCCGAAGAAATGTTCTCCCAACGGCGTTGAGATATAGAGGTCGGCCTTGTCAGGGCGCGATAAGACGGAATTTGGCACGAGAGCGTTGAAAATTATCGTTGAATACGCCAAATAAAGAATCATGACTACATTAGCAGTGTGCATCAAATGTATAATGACTCTTTCTGACTCGTTCTAATGACGTTAGCTACCTGTTTTGCGGGAAAATAATGTTTGGCATAGGAGCTTGTAAAAATGTGTCAAGTCCGTTGTTAAAATTTTGGGTATTCTTTCTGAACGTGGTTTTTTCCCCAAGCCCTGTACCAACAAAAAAATAAACGTGCGGTTAGTTTGAAGGTATCTGTTATAACTTGCGCGTCCCGCTTAACATAATCTCCAGATTAAAATCTTGTTTGCTTAATCTGCGACCAAGATAGGAACAGCTCTATGTTTCTTTTTACACGAGTCTTAAAAATTCTTTCAGTAGATCAGTGCGTCCTCAAAAAGTGAGTAAAACATTTCCATTTTCCGGACTTTTTTCCCATAACTAGGAGTGGATGAGGGGTATCTATCCACAGCTTTTTGCAAAGACCGGTTTTCTCCAACGCGGAATAGACGCGTGCTCCCTAGGATTCTTGCTAATTTGATCGGCTATCGACTCGCTGGGGGGGGGGGCTAGGGCTAAAAAAGCAGATAGTGGTCAGCAAACAGTCCGTGTATTACCGTTACTCCCTTTTGCTGGCGGTGAGCTTGTGCCCACTGATTAACACCCCGAGGTGTTAAATCGGTTTTGTATACCGAACTATGTAGACTAGTGACAATGGTTATCTGGTTGGTCGGTATAGAGGAGCCTCTTTCCTCGCGCTGTGGTCGGTGGTGTGTGTGGGTGCCGATCCATCTGGGAACGATTGCAGATTGTACGGACGTGGGATACCTTTATTTGCGGCTCAGAAAAAAATTGGGTACGGCTATGTCGCTGTTTGTGCAGTTATTCCAAAATCCTATCTACTCAAAATCGTGATTTATCCTGATTTCTAACTGTCCCTTCCTTTTATACAAAACAGTGACAATGAACCTCCGCAAAGATACCCCGCGATCAATCATCAAGGACATGTTTTACCAGTTTTATTTTAATTGAAATTGAAGGCCCCCCTCGATTATAAATGATTCAGCCCCACCCCTTTATCCACTCTACGTACATAAAGACCTCCTTCCTTAGTGCGAGATGAGTACCGTTGGCTTGTAAAGTGACATTGTATTGTTGAATCCTTTTTTTCCAAAATGGACCTTTTAAAAAGCACAGGAATAACAAATTAATCATTTCCCAACGTAACCTGTTCTCTACGAAGTGCGACCAGTCAAAAGTAGGCAGTATCGTTTTGTATCTGTAAAGAAGCCTATTCGTGTGATAAAGGTAAATTACTGAGTAAACATAATGTTGATTCCTTTAATAATCTCACCCGTTTAGTCAATACAGGGTCTTCACAACGCTACTTAATTTACCAGATTACATGACGCGTTCTTTATTAATAAGATTATACCGTATTCTGAGGCATAGCCTTCTGGAAATTACAGCACACCTCATTTCCTGGGCGAGTGAACTTTGTTGCTGAAATGAAGTGCAAGAAATTGCTGTATATATCCAACTCGGCAGTCCTCTTTCGCCAACAAAGGCTTGGGGGACGATAAACCTCGCAGGGCACAGCGCGCGATGCCTGTCATTCGCGATTTTCATGAAACAAAGATAAGTGAAATCGAGCAGCAGCCGACCTGCGCGCCGTTTTCTACGAGACTCGCTGACCGAAATGCTGATTCAATAGTTTCTCATTACTGCACCATAGTTCAGAAATAGTTCCAAGGTTCCCAATCCGTTTCGTGCCCGAAATTGTCATACGTATACTGCTTTTTTCCTCGATATTGCTGATTAAAACTTTGATGCAGCGCTTCCGGTTTTGTTGGCTGTGCTTCGACTCTTCACCGACCCAATTCCATCCTTCCCGGCTGCTCTCCGAACCCACCGCGGTGCAAAACACGCTACCCGCTGGGGCCCCCCGCCACCAGTTCCATTTTAATGACAGAGAAAACCTGTTGACGCTCTCCCTTTACCGCTCCTGTCCTCCTAAATTATATCCACCGCATCGCTAACAAAACTCTCCTTTGCAACGCCTTGATTTCTGCCACTTTAGACCGCATTACTGCGCGCCACTCAAGAATGTGTCCAATCTGGTCCACTTCGAGTCCCCCCCCCCTTCTTGAGTTCACCGGACAATCCCCGTTGTTTTGTTCAGGTAGATCTGCGTAAGTCCACCCCATAAATTGCTCCTGCTCGGCCCTTTTACCTTTCCGTTGGGAATCTTGATATCACAAAGGCCGTTAACGAAGTGCCCGAGTGTTTGGAATCGTCTTGTGTCAGCGTCCATGACCATTCACCATTGCTGCTTTCTAATTAAAATTGCT